GAAATCAGCCAAGGCTCCATAGAATTGTGTTGAACCCCCCCCCCCTTGCCTACATCAGTGAGTGTGTGCATGCAGGTGAGCCAATCAATGGGTGGAACAGCAAGAGTAATGTCGATTGGTTTTGAGGAGGGGCTCGGGCTTTTGAGAGGTATTCATGAGGAGGGAATCGGAAATAAGGGATCGAAAACTTAGGAGGAGCAGCCTCGTGTGAGGAGTGTGTGAGAGCCGATTGAAAAAAGAGATGGAGTTGATAAGAGAGATGTAAAATAGAAATGGGGGTCGGGCGCATTTAGATTAAGTATTATTTATTTCATTATTATTATTTCTTGTTGCCAATATAGCAAAAGGAGGGATGCAGGCGTGGGTGGCTAGAAGATTTAATTTTGGCAGAGGATGAGGCGGCTGCAAGTTATCTTCAAAGGATTTTTCCTTCAATCACACGTACTCCACTACATAAGCTTGATATGTTACTTTAAACACATAAATCTTAGAATTATTTCCAATTCAACAACATATGTCAAAACTTTATCAATCTTCCCTCAATGATTATGGACTTTACGATGACACATCTTATTGATAATGAACTTTAGCGAGTGAGATATTAAAAGAGATTAAGCTAGAACCTATGATTCATGAAATTCATGAGCTTGAGGAAGTTTTTAAGCATGAAACATTATTTTCTACATATGCTTGCCTTGAAATACCTTAAAATGTACAAGAGGCTCCAATAGATCTTCTCCAACTCTTAAAATTATTCCTTCTCTAGTTCACTTGTCTCTATCGCAAGTTGCATACACCAATTCGAATGATTATAGTTTGCTTTAGCCATACGTACTCATAATTGAGTTTGTATTGTCACTACAAGCATCGTTGTCTAGTCCATTATTGTTGCCATTTATAAAGATTTCATAAATGCATGAAATCTGAATCCACTCAATAAACAAGCTTCCATGTCCATCCGAACTCTTTAGGCTTCTGCCTAGTGCCAACTTGATGTAGACAAAGGGGGGGTTACCTCATGTCCAAAATAATATGAATTTTGGCTTCCCTTGAGTCTACTAGCTCAATCAAAATTGAGCTGGAATTTTAGCTCATTTATGAGCTGGTCTTTAGTTCACATATTGAACTAAGGGTTAGCTCATTATTAACTAAGTTTTAGCTCATATTTATCCTTTATTTTAATGCACTTTTATTATAGTTTTTAATGTCTTAAAGTTATCTCTTGGGTTTCCAAAAAGGGCTTTTGGAATCCCAAGAAGTTGTTTGGTTTTCCCATGGTGGCTCCTTGAATTCCACCATGGCTTTTTATGCTTTTGCCCCTTGGATTCCGGCCGGCTGCTGGTTTCCCGTGCCTGTGCTCCCTCCCGTGACCGTGGCCCCTTGGTTCCCGCTCGGCCTCCCTGGTTCTCGCGGCTACCACTTCGGTTATTGGGTTTGGGATGTTTTCTCGTGCAAAGCATTTAGTTTTTTTTTAATGTTTGTCTTTTAGAATTCCTATGAGAATTTAATGTTTGTCTCTTGGTACTTCTCTTTCATACCTATAAATATGGGAGCATTTGTAATGTTTGAAGTTAGTAAAAAGTTGAATAATAAGTTATTTTTGGAAGTTTTAACCTGCGGGTTGGCTTTGGAAATCCTGCGGGCTCTTTCGACCCTTCTTTCTCATCCCCTCCGGAAATCTTGCGGGCTCTTTTCAACCTTTCTTCTCAGGCTTCTAACCTCTTTCGTCTATCCGCAAGTGCCACTCCATCTGTATCCTTCTTCTCTAAGTGCAGCAACTTTAGGGTGTCGTCATTTTGTTTGCAAGAGTCGTTTGTATTAGTGTAAGTTTTCTTTTGTTTAGTTTAAATTGAAATGAAAGAGTTTGTTCGTCCTACTTCTCGTCTTTAGTCATTTTTCGTCGGTAGAAGTCCGTCGTGTCTTTTGTGATCAAGAGATATAGGCTCCCTATATTTTTTGGTCGCATCATTTTGGTATCAGAGCAAGTTAGGAAGTCCTAGGTTTGTGGTTTGTCATATTTGTTTTAGTTGTCAAGTCTAAGTTTGTCAAGTTTGTCAAAGCGTTTATTTGTGAGTCTAAGTTTAGGTTGGGTCTTTCTATGAGTCTTGTAATTTTTGAGTCTTTTTTGAGTCTGTCAAAAAAATGAAAAAAGGCAAAAAGACAAAAGAAAGCAAACATAAAGAAATTGAAGATCCTATGGATAGGAGGATTCCATCAAAGTCAACACATCCTATGGAATATGAACTGTACAAGCTTCAATCGTGGTTGCACATTCGGACAAAAAGGAACTTCAAGAAAAAGCAACGCTTACAAGATAAATTCCTGAAAGAACGAGATGAAATCAAGCAGAAGTATGAAGACCTGATTAATGAACTTGATGCTCCGTCTTCTCCTCCTCGGAAGACAACAACAACTAACTCATCAGGAGCTGAGTTCTTCAAGAAGGGGAGAATCTGATTGGATTCCGGCCGGCTGCTGGTTTCCCGTGCCTGTGCTCCCTCCCGTGACCGTGGCCCCTTGGTTCCCGCAGCTGCCACTTCGGCTATTGGGTTTGGGATGTTTTTCCGTGCAAAGCATTTAGTTTTTTTTTTAATGTTTGTCTTTTAGAATTCCTATGGGAATTTAATGTTTGTGTCTCTTGATATTCCTCTTTCATATCTATAAATATGGGAGGATTTGTAATGTTTGAAGTTAGTAAAAAGTTGAATGATAAGTTATTTTTGGAAGTTTTAACTTGCGGGTTGGCTTTGGAAATCCTGCGGGCTCTTTCCACCCTTCTTTCTCATCCCCTCCGGAAATCCTGCGGGCTCTTTCCAACCTTTCTTCTCGAGCTTCTAACCTCTTTCGTATATCCGCAAGTGCCACTCCATCTGTATCCTTCTTCTCTAAGTGCAGCAACTTTAGGGTGTCGCATTTTGTTTGCAAGAGTCGTTTGTATTGGTGTAAGTTTTCTTTTGTTTAGTTTAAATTGAAATGAAAGAGTTTGTTCGTCCTACTTCTTGTCTTTAGTCATTTTTCGTCGGTAGAAGTCCGTCGTGTCTTTTGTGATCAAGAGATATAGGCTCCCTATATTTTTTGGTCGCATCACAACTACTATTTCCTACAATGCATGATTGCATCTTAAATCAAATGATGTAGTGGTGTCACCTCCCCCTCCTTGGCCGCTTCAAACAAAGTCATCAACAAAAAAAATTCTTTGCAAGCCAAATGAATTAATGCAGTATAACTCAACTAGTTTAGCTCAGAAAAAAAAATAATTTTCATGGTAAAACAAAAGTAGTCGAATTGAGCTGCAAGAAGATAGATCGGGCTCATTTTCAAACCTTATTGGAACTTTATTTAATTTTTAGCCGTATTTCTTCATATTTTTATTAGATAAAATTTATTAGGCTGAGGTATCTTATCAAATACTATTATCTTTGAATTTGAGTATTCATTAGAATTATATTTAATTTTAGATAAAGTTAGATTTTATTTCGAAATCCGAATCTTTATAGCCATAATGCCATATTTCTATTACGGCTTGCATTCAAAGATGAATGAAATTATACTTGAAGCCTACTTCAGTGTTCTCCTTTTATCTAATTTATGTATGAGAATCTCTCCAAACTACGAACATAATGTTTCTCCCTTCTATCCACCCCTTTCTATCCTCCAACCTCCATCAACTGAATTAGCCAAATCCACTATTTAGCCAAATCCACAATTGAAAGAGCATCCTGCATCAAAGAAACTAGAACTAAACAAGAATATGGCGGTTATATAATGACTTGCGATTCTTCTATACTAAACTTGCAGGAAGAAAACTATCAGCTATTCAAACATGTGCAACTACCTGAGTATGAAAAGAAGCATAAAGGTCAAGTTAGAATCCAACATATAACCTAAAATAAAATAATGGATATACTGTACTAAAATATAGGAAATACAGGGTAGGACTAGAGTCTTCAAGCCAGAGAGAATACACAAAATGAGTACAATTTGCGTTGCAGCAACTTCATTGCATGTCAAATAAATAAGAAAAGATGTGCTCACCAAACCAACAACGATAAAGCTAACAAACACACAACTGATAACATTGTTAACATCAAAAAAGACATCAGATTAAGGGTATGTAGCTAAAAAACTGTCCACAGAAGTATAAACAACTTCTAAGTATTATATCTAGCTATGTTTAACTTACAGACATTATTGCTGCTTCATTGACTAGATTGCGAATATCCGCACCAGAATACCCAACAGTTCGAAAAACAAGCTGCCATGGAAAGAAAACTTTCAAGCTGAATGAATATAAACAAAGATTGGTCAACAAATCACAAGAAAAGAAGAAACTAAAAGCAAACAAAATGGACCAATAATTAAACTAAGTTAGGGAAAAAAAGCAGCATCTAAGGGTCATGTGGAAAATTATGAAAGGTATGAAATCACTCTTAATATGAAGAAAGTAAGACCATAACAAGCGCATATGATAAATAAAGTTCAAGATGTCTTTCATGTATAATGCAACAAGCTACGCTTAAATAAGTTCAAGATGTCTTTCATCAATAATGCAACAAGCAAAGGAAACAATAATTTGTTTATTTTACTCAAAGAACAGCCTGCGGACCAGAAAGGTTTTCAAATAAGCGCTCACCTTTTATAACATCATAAATATTATGTAGCAAAAGTATTTCAAAAAACAACAAGGTCTACATGGTGTGTATGAATATTGAGAAAACATTGACTGATGAAGCGGCATGAGCATTAATAACAGGTATGATAAATAAAATAAGAAATAAAAATAAAAGTGCAAACTTAGCAGTGAGAAAGATAAAAAAATAAAAGCAAAAAAAAATAAATGAGCAAAAAAAAGTAACAAAAATACCGAATGAGATTCGGTAATTAATACAGAAGACGGTAATTAATACAGAAGACGAGGAAATTTTTTTCCAGCATTAGTTTCTCAATTTTGAAATCAAAATGCACAGCAACAGGGTAAAAATCAAAAGTTATATAATTAAATGGAAAAGTAAATAATCTAATGAAAAAAGAAAGCCTACATATAAAAAAGTAATAGTGACTATAAAAGAAACTGAGAAATAAACCAACAAAGAAAAGAATCAAGAAACCGGGAACATTATATGAAAAAGAAGAGTATGTGTAACTGGAATCTAGTGCCAGTAGTGCTTTAAGCTATGTAACCAAAGTATATGCTTCCACCACCTCCACAGTGCATTTCTGCTCTGCCTTGCATTTATAGAAAAAGCAAATTGTTTCTTAGTGCTTCTCCCCAAAAGAACACGAATCAGCATGCTTTCACTAACACTGGTACTTTTACGACTACTTTCCGAAGTTGTTTATCTGCTTGATAGTTATTTCGCTACAGTTTATATGCAACTTCTTATCTTGTTTTTCAAATAGAATAAGGGAATAAAATCCAGTCATGTAATTTCCCATTTTCTAACCTACTCTCTTCTTATTCTAATTTTCAAGATGGTATCAAAGACAATAAAGATCAAAAAGCCCTTCAATATGAAGTCTCACCTCCATGCAAATGGATCTTTTATAAACCAATCTTCATCCAACAAAAGACGGAAAAAAAAATGTGAAGGATCCTCCTCTGGGAAAGTGATGTAGAACGAACATGCACTGATGATTGAATTAAGGAAGCTTGCACGCTTAAATTTTAAAGCACAATAATTATAAGCTTCCTTTTGATGTTAAACGACAAAAATAAAAATAATAAGGTGATAAAATAGCTTAGGTCTAAACACATGCGAGAGGTTGAGATCATTAAATAGTCAACCAAGTCTTACGTTGCATACATGAGTGGTTTCAACAAGAATTCCAATGCTAACAATTAGATTAGTCTATGAAAGATCCCTCACACATCTCTTCTAATTACTAGGCTTTAGCGGTGAATAATTAATATGATCTTCATGAAGGTAGTAAATTCACATTCAAGAATGCAACTATGAAGATAAAAGAGCTTAGTGTCGAATTTATCCAAAAACAAGAGAGATACGCCTCCCCGAAGGTGCGATCAGCAATGTGAAACGTCAGGGCAGCGTTTGAAGGCCTTCTACTTGGCTGGACAGTAGGAAACATGTGCAGATTTTCCTGGACAGAAAACTGCACCTTTGGGAGAACTTGGACGGCAATCTGGACTTGTGGAGAACTCTTGGACAGCACGTTCTCAATCTTCAGAATTCTGGACAGGAGCTCTAAAGAAAAGAATCAAGAAACCGGGAACATTATATGAAAAAGAAGAGTATGTGTAACTGGAATCTAGTGCCAGTAGTGCTTTAAGCTATGTAACCAAAGTATATGCTTCCACCACCTCCACAGTGCATTTCTGCTCTGCCTTGCATTTATAGAAAAAGCAAATTGTTTCTTAGTGCTTCTCCCCAAAAGAACACGAATCAGCATGCTTTCACTAACACTGGTACTTTTACGACTACTTTCCGAAGTTGTTTATCTGCTTGATAGTTATTTCGCTACAGTTTATATGCAACTTCTTATCTTGTTTTTCAAATAGAATAAGGGAATAAAATCCAGTCATGTAATTTCCCATTTTCTAACCTACTCTCTTCTTATTCTAATTTTCAAGATGGTATCAAAGACAATAAAGATCAAAAAGCCCTTCAATATGAAGTCTCACCTCCATGCAAATGGATCTTTTATAAACCAATCTTCATCCAACAAAAGACGGAAAAAAAAAATGTGAAGGATCCTCCACTGGGAAAGAAGACGGCGACAACTACTACAAAGAAGATGGCGGTGACTACCATAAAGAAGCCAATGGTCAAGATTGAAACCAACTTCAAAATGGATAACCCAGAAACAAAACATGAAAAATCTATGATGAAATATTGAACTATAAAATTCCAAAGAGAACCAGCAACAATAAAAAATCTAAACAACTCTCTCCACTCTATTTTAGCCATCTGACCAGCAAATCATTTTCCAAATAAAAGCTTATTCTAGGGCATCACTAGAATAGGATTGGTTGCTCAAAAAGGTAAATTCTTAGATGCTTTTAGTGCAAACAAGAAGGAAACTACTATTTGGATAGTAGACTTGGGAGTTTAAGATCATATGACAGGAGATAGAAATGACTTCCATAATTTAGCCCATCCATGAAAATTATAATGTCCTTATTGCAAAGTGGGTGCAAAGTGATGCAATAAAAAGTGGTCATAATAAAACCTGACATCTCTCAAAGAAATCTCAATTGAATCTATGCTTTTTATACCTAACATAGACTGCAACTTACTATCAATTAACAAGGTCACTCAAGATAAAAATTAGTTTGCTAATTTCTCACCTAATTGTTGCAAGTTTTAAAGCTTGAACTTGGGGAAGAAAATTGAAAATACATAGATCTGTTCAAGACTCTTACCTTCTAAAAAATAATTCATCATCTAAGGTAAAAAATTCAAACAATGGGCCATATATCTACCAATAACTCCAACTAAAAATTGTAAACATACATCAAATAATGATAACAATGTCTTATTTTGGCATATTACTGCCTTGGATATCAAAACTTTTCTTACCTTCAAAAACTAATTTGCTCTATTTTCATCAGCAAAATTTCAAAAGACTTTCAGTAAGAAATTTTTCATCTAGCTAAACACACTCATAGATATCCTTATCAAACCTACAAACATTCTCAATAATTTGCTTTAGTCTACAGTGATGTGACTGAACCATCTAGGGTCAAAAAAGTATTTGGAGCTAGGCAATTTATTATCTTCATTGATTATTATACCAGACTCACTTGGGTTTTTATTAATAAAAGAAAATTCCTAAGTAGGACAAAATTTTAAACATTTCAACTCCATGTACAGTCCCAATTTCAATAAAAAATTCAAGTCATAAAAATCGACAATGCCAAAGAATACTTTGAATTGATCTTCAAAAATCGTTTCCTACACCAAGGGATTATCCACCAAAGTTCTTGCATCAACACCACTCAACAACTGTGGTTGCTTAAGGGAAAATTAGATGCTTCTTAAAGGTTGCTAGATCAATAATGTTCTACACTAATGATTCTAAATATATTTAGGGATAACTATACTAATAGCTAAACATCTCATCAATAAAATGTCCTCAAGAGTACTTAAATTTAAGATAACTATTCAAGCCCTTCACTATTCCTTTCCCAAAATCAGTTGTTCTCTTCCTCAAAAAAATTTTGGGTGATTAATCTTTCATTCTCAACGTTGAAGCAAAATATACCCCAAATCTATCAAGGGTATTGTTATTAGATGCTTCCCAAATCAAAAGTGTATAAATGATATTCACCAAACTTACAATTCCCTCGATGTAACTTTCCTTGAACACCAATCTTATTGTTCAAAACCCAAAATTCAAATGCAGAAAATTAAAAAAAAAAATCAAGTTTGAAACTTATTTCATCATCCACCATCATCTCTCATCAAACTCATGGACAATGAACATTTTCTCATTTCCCCTCATTTAACCTACAAAATCCTCACAAAAACCACAAAATCCCTCATCACCCTATCAATGCACCCAAACTATGAAGAATTAGCTTCATATAATATGAGGAAAAGAAAAACCATAAAAGGGAGGAATCAACATATTTCTTGAACATACAAGAACCATAACATGATTCAAAGAACAATGAAGTACAGAGAATGAATATATAGATGATATTAATCTCCATTGTTATATTCCCCTAAGGGGTGGTTATGCACCAAACATTCAATCTATTACTTCATGAGCTCTAAAGAGTTTACCTGTAAATTTCAGCTTTTTGTTTTTATCATTCTAAAATACATATTCCAAACAATATTCATGAAGCTCTATACGGCTTTAAATAATCTCCCCACATCTTGTTTGGCATATTATTTAAATATGTTGAAAAGTGTAGGTATACACAATGTCATATTGATCACAATCTCTTATCAAATGCTCACCTAAATGAGGAAAGGTGATTTTGATAGAGCACATAAATGATATTATATTGATAGGCAACTTCACGGAAAAGCTAATTAGATTAAGAGAAATTTTGGAAAAAGAATTTAAGGTAGAAAACATTAAAATTTAAAAAAAAAAATTCATCAAAATAACATGATCAAAACATAATATTATTACAACCCAAAAAGTATATTCTTGATTTACTTCAATTAATAGGAATGCTTGGCAAGATCGGATTATTCGACTTCCTTAATCATGAAACAAATCAACGCATAACTTTAAAGTTCAGGTATAAACATAGTAATTTCAATTTAAAATAACACGTAAACTTCTAGACTTATAAAATACATGTATAAAAGAATCTCTACATCTCTATCAGCCAGCTCAAGAAATAAACAATCTGCAAATTTCCATTCAAAATTAAGGGATTATGCTTTAATTTTAAAGCATAGGATGATGATATCAACAAATTTCCTGTTTCAAGGTAGTGGAAGATTGCCTCTAAATAATCCTAGGGTTAGGCTTCTTGCAGTAGTGAGATTTGTAGTATTATTGGCAATCGGATCAATCATCAATTCTTAATCCAACTGCAAGTAGTTATTGGAGACACCAATAATAATCCACTATTTAAACCCAAGAACTTATGAGATGGTAACGTCAGAAAAGAACTAAAAATGGTACTTAACAAAGTACTATCATTTATAGGGCAGAGGCTCACCGTAAAGTACTCTAGCAACCAATGAAAAAAAATGGACCTAAAGTACTATGGACATAGCTGGGAAACAGAAACAGGAAAACAATTCATGTTCCAGACCAAACTAAAATCCAATTATCCTTTAAGAGCACAGGGGTAGAACAAGAATGCTGGAACACATCATTGCCTTCACCTTAACCGATATTTCATAAATCAAGCAAACAAAGAAGAAAGGAGTTCAAAAGGGTTTGCTTTTAGGTGGATTTTATTTGCAAGTGCTGAAGAGTGAACATTGCCTCAATGATTTCATTTCTTTCCACCACAATCCTGAGCATTGATGCCAGAATGATACCTCATACCAGAAAGAAAACAAGGACACCGAAGAAAGATGGAGATTTATAATATTTCTTAATTTTGTGAAATTCTAGGTCTGTCTTTAGCTCAAAATTTATTGACTTAACCAAAATATGCCCTTAGGTCTTCAACCATGTCAAACCACTATTTCTTTTAACCCTGCAGCATATTCTCACTCAAAATAAAAAATGCAACATTCTTGTAGCAATAAGCTATATTGAGATTATTTTGAACTTTAATTCATTAATTTTTAATTGATTAAAAAATAATAAAGCAAATATTTTAAAAAGGAAATTTCAACTTTATCTAGACTACCAAGAAAATTGTGTAAACTATTTGCCAAAGCACCCTCGTGTTCTTATTGGTACGTTAGACTTCAACCTTTTGTCCATGTTTGTTAAAAAACACTTGAAGCCACTTGAACTAACTTTGTGGTAGGAAACACTTGTAGATCTCAAGTATTTCCAATCAAATCTTCGGAAAACAGTGAGATTTCTCCACAAAAATCCACACAAAACCACGAAAATAGTAGATAATTTGTATTATTTGATAAAACGAAAGCGGAAAATACCAAGATACAATTGATCCTCTATTTGAGAGAATGATCAATCTCTCCCAATCTCTAGACGCTGCTAGAGCCCAAAGGAAAACCTAAATCTAAGAGATCTCAAATTTCAACCAAATTCAAGATGTCATAACCCTAGGAAAACAAACTATTTAATGCATACAAATCAAAAGGAAATCACTAAACAGTCCCTACATTCAAATTTCCCTCCTAAAACCCTAAAAAATCCTTCCTAAAATGTTATGTTGGCTCTTGCGGTCCGAACGAGCTACCGAAGAGGTGAAATATTTCCGCTTCTGTTGCGCTAGGCCCATCCCTTGTGGACCAGCTGGACCAGTCCTAACACTTTGAGAAGATCTTGTTTCGATCAATATTCAATTTATTTTAAATTTTATATAATCTTCAACAGCAGCAGCTTAGCTAATCCAACTAGGCAAGGCTAGCTTGAGGAACATTTCTTCAATATTCATATCTAGCTAACAAATGCATTTCGAGATTACAATTTAAGAGCACCATTATATGTGCTTCAGAAAGGTACTAACAAGCAATTTAACAAGAAACTAAACAAGATTAACAAGTTATGTTGCTTCCACTTGTGTTGGTATCCATGCTAAATAAATAAATAAAACTAACTGTGTTTGCCTAATCTCACTCAGTCAAGTGACAGTTTGCATATCATAAATAATAGAATAAAGAGCAATTTTTAAAGTTTTCAAACCTCTGTCATAGTTTTAACATGCTCTCATGTTAACATAATTGAAACCTACCTTGGAAAACAGAATATGCAAAAAAACAATAGTGCTAATACAATTCTTCCTCTGGAAGAATTTGATTTGAGTTAGTGCTAAATTTGAAACCCCCGTACCTTTTTAAGGGAGAATGTATTTCAGTGCAGCACACTTTGGAAACTGAAAAGACTGAAAGTAGAAATCATATTACATAAGTACAGCATATTTAAATTGCTTGCCTTTCTGAAGTCAACGTCTTCCGCCAACCTTTTTCCAACACTATGCACACCAAATATTCTCACCCGTTGTTTAGCATCAGGCAAACCAATGTACAAGCGCCGATCAATACGACCATGTTGAACGAAGTCGGGATCCAACTCATCTGGACGATTAGTTGCACATATGAAAATAACAGCTTCTCTGAGTGAAAAGCGATCAACACCAGTTTTTTCCTTCCTACGAGAGAAAATCATGAGAACAGGTTCAACCTGATATGCAGAAACATTTCAAAGGTAGCTACTTATGTTCAACAGCAGACTAGTAATGCACTAACAAAATACTTTTGTTCCAAGATCTACTGTGCAGCAGTAGCGCACTGACAACATACACTAAGACAATCGTGAATAGAAGACATGAAACTAGTGGTATCACTGTTGAAATTCCCAATTGAATTAGTGAGTATTCATAGAAGAAAAATATTTTGACTTAATTCATAGTGAAGTAATGGGTATTACTCTTGTTACATTCCTGCAAATTATAAATATTTTATGACAATCATTAATGATTAGACAAAGTATATTTAGATTTATTTTGTTCGGTAGAATCTGAAGTATTAACTATCTTTCAAAATTCTGTAGCCTATATTGAAACTCAACTAACATTCAAGCTCAAAAATTTTAAGATTCGACTATGAGGGTGAATATAAACACTTGAATTTCAAGACTTGCTTAAAAAGAGATTTGCTTCTGAACAATTATATCCTTCTACACCTCAACAAATTTAGTATTGTTGAACGTAAAAATCAACACCTATTAGATATTGTTCGAACATTATTATTAGAAATTTAGAATCTTTCATTTGACCTAAACTCTAAGTTAAATATTTAGCATATCGATCTATTTAATAAATATATTATTTTCTCATATCATAAAGTTTGACTCTCCAAATTGACTCCTCCATAAGCATCTCAAATACCATGATATGTATACATTTGGTTGAGCTTATTTTTTTTAGCTATCAGTCCTTGAGCATCATAAACCCTTTATTCAATATATTAAATGTGCATTTATGGTCAACTGCACTTCTCACAAAGATTATGTTTGTTATGATCCATGCTCCAAAGGATTTCACATATATCATCTCATCGTTTTCTTTGAAAATCAACTTTTCTATCCTACCCATGTTGAACCTCTAGCAAACATTCATGAATTAATTTCTAATCCTGAATAACTCAAACCCAAATTGGTATATGAAAGAATATGTATAACTTTATCATTCTTAAGCCAAACCTGTGAATCAAGCTTTTACAAACGGTTCTGCTGCATAAACCCACTAGCTGGAATTTGGTCACCGCTCCTAAATTGTCTTCCTAAATTTCTCAATCTCAAAAATAACATGTCTTCCAAACTCATTGGCTTCCATTCTCATTCCTTCATATATGATTAGTGTTAAAAGTAGTCTTGATGAGGACATCAGAGCCTGGAAAATCTATCAAAGACGTGGCCGTCGATCTACGGCCACGATTGAGTCGATGTATTTCTGAGTCGTATTATTTATTTTCTTTATTATTATGTCATGTTGTATTTGCTTTATTAGTGTTTCCGTTTTTACCCCTTAAAGGAGGTCGTATGTAAGCCCAGTGGGCGTCGTCGTCTTTTTATTTTATTGAGTCTTTTGTACGAGGCTATATATAGCCTCATTGTTCTCTTTTCATGTTAGTGAATGAATGATGAATTTTCTTCCCCTTTGATTTCTTTGTGAGATCGTAAGAATGTTTGAGAGAGGAATCCTTAGGAGAGGGAAATCGGATTACCCACCAACCTTGGAGACAACCGGATTTGTGGTTCTATCTTCTCTATCTCTTCCTCTCCTCCTTCCTCCCTCAACTAGTTGCTGGCCTTGAAGTCCATCCCATCCCCCTTAAGCCGTCGGCCACCATACAACTTCCACTCGCCATCGGTTAACCTCAACTCCACCTCCACCCTCACCCGACCCCTTCTCCCCTCATCCACATCCACGGTTCATCCCACCCAAGCCGCCGCCCCTTGATTTCCTTGTTCCCCAAAATTCGCAATCCTCTTTATTACTTTCCTTTTTCATTTATCCTCATTTTGGAATGTGATAATTTCAATCATCCCAAAATCAAATTTGAAATATTTCCTAAAATAGAATTCTATTTTAGGAAAGTTTTAAAAATCAAATTCAAAATTGATTTAATTAAGATTGGAATTAAATCCTATATCCTAATTAGAGACTCCCAATGAGGAAAGCATCAAACCCTCATTTAATTTCTCCCATCCCTCTTCCAAAATCCCAAAACCCCTCTTGGAAAGATTTCAAAACCCTATCACCCCCTCTTGGCCGAAATTCCGAAAGCCCCCTCACCTCCTAATTACTTTCCAAAACCCAATAATATGTTTTGGAAAATAAATCCCCACCCTCTCTCCCTCTCACCACCGCCTCTCACCTCTCTCCCTTTACTTTAATTATTCCCAAACATAGGGTTTAATTAAAGTTTTTTTGGGAACCTTTTCTCTCCTCCCCAAATCAAAACCAAGTTAAATCCCTTCCACTCTTCCGTTGGCCGACCACCCCTCCACTTCCAGTTCGAGAGAAACTTCTTTCTCTCTAGCGAGTATTCAAGGATTGATATTGCTCTTCAACTACACACCCTTCTCCTAACGCCAATGAATGGCTGATCCGGAGCTTGACTGCGGATTCGCTTACGACGAGCAAGGATACGCTAATATCCTTCACTCCACCTTCTTCGATTTCAACCCAGAAATTGATTGTTTCATCGAAGAGTACGTGGACCGCATTATCTTTATGCTATCGGAGGCTATCGATGAGCAACTTGCCGGCGCCCAATGGCAAATCGTCTCCGAACCTTCCCAAGGGTGAACCACTTCTCCTTTTCATTTACTTTCCTAATCCACTAACTTTGTTGGTGATGACGAGTCGCTAAGGGTTGTGCTTCATCTTATGCCTAAGCCTAATAAACGTAGGATTGAGCGTGCTTTCTTTGCTTCTAATCTTATTGTTAGATTAGGGATTTTGTTGAAAGCTATTTACTTCGCATGTTGTTGAATTTCTAACTTGTTTTTATTCTCAAGTGGCTTAGCCTAAACGTAGGCACCCCTCTCTTGTTTTATTTTGTCGTTTTAATTGATAATAGTTTAATCTTTATTGATCTAACGAAGAAATAGTGCAAACTCTTATTGCATTTCTTTAAAACATTTTAGTCCTGCATCAAGTCTATAACTGAAGAATTTTAAATTTTTGAAGTTTTAGCACTATTATTTTTATGATTAATGTTAGAAGTAGTACATGCGGAAGATTTAGCATATTATCTGGCTAGTACATATGATTAATGTCATTTGGCTATAGGAGTAAAACATAATATGTATATTACTTTTCTTGAGATAATACCAGATAAACTATTTTTTATTAGGATATTATTATTCTCAAAACAATACCAAAATATGATTAATGTTACTTGCAAGATGAAAGTGCTATAACATAATATGCATAATATGATTAATGTTAGAAGTAGTCTAGAGCCCAATAATATTTTTTAGTTGAGGAATTTAAAGCTATTGAAGTAACATACATGGGAGATTATTCATTGTCCTCAAAATATTGGAGTCTATGGATGCAAATGGATTAACTTAATCAAGCTTCCCTTTGATGGTGCTTAGGATATGTATCAGACCCTTGTTATGGGAATGATTAAGAAGAAACATTTTGCTCCAATGGCTAAATGACTATGATACAAACGATTGTCTCTATTACTATGCATAAGGAATGGCCACTACACCAAATGAAAATTAAAATGCCTTTTTTTAAGGTGATCTCAAGAAGGAGATTTATATGATTCTTCCACCAAAAGTTTGTCTCCTCTCCAAATATATGCAAACTAAAGTGCTCTATGTATTGATTGAAATAAGGCCCCGTGATTTGATAATTTCAATCAATCTTATTTCATTTCTCCCTTACACAGAATAAATATAACTCTATTATTTATTTGCAAGACATCCAGAGGTATTGCTCTTATCCTTGTTTCTATTGATGACATTGTTATTATTGGGACATATTTAGCTCTTCTTAATCATTTACAACATCTTCAAGCAAAATTTGACATCAACAATCTTCGTGATCTTTACCTACTTCCTAGTTTTGGAAGTTCAAATGAATCCCTTAGGTATTTTCCTAACCCAAAAGAACTACACAGGATCTAATTATATTTGTTAACCTCCAAAATATTTCCCCTACAAATAGCCACTAAAAGTAAATATAAGATATTGAACTAGGATATCATCTCCTTGATCCCATTATATTTCAACAATTGATAGAGAGCTTAAATTACTTAACAATTACTCGACTTAATATTTCCTTCGTGACTTAGCAAGTTAGCCAATTTATGCAAAAATCCTCATCATTTGCATTTAGTTCTTGATCATTGAATAATTCAATATCATATCGGGACATTGTTATTTCCAACTGGTTCTTCTCTTTATCTTATAAAGTATGTCGATGCTAACCGAGCAGGCTGCCCTAATACCCAATTGTCACTCACAGGAAAATGCATATTTTTTGGAGACAACTTGATCTCACGAAAAAGAAAGAAGCTAACTTATGTGCCTATATCATATACTAAATCTGAATATTGCACTTTGCCTGCCACCTGTTCAAAGATTATCTAGTTCCTTAAACTTCCATCTGAACTTGATTTTTCTCAAAATAATACCACTCTCCTCGATGCATACAATTTCAGTGCCATTCAAAATGTTGCCATTCATGCTTTATTATAAATGTACAAAAAAAATTAAAATTGACAGTCACTCGATTCAATAAGTATTTGACACTTGTATTATTCCTCTTCCTCTATATATACCTTTAGAATGTGAAGATATTTATGTAGGCCTTGACATGATAACGACATCATTTCTTTGTAGGAAAATAGATACTTCTGAAAAAATCAATATTAATTTGAGGGGAAGATAGCAGCAAGATACGTCATAATAACTTACCATTAATTATCCTTTTGATTATAACCATAAATGTGTAATTAATTAATATAGTTGTCAATATTTATCTTTTTAGAAATACCATGATTTCAAAAATCATTTAACGCGCATGTCTCAAGGTGCGCCTTGAATTTAAGCACATAATGAGCACCTGAAGGCTTAGGCCTCACTGTTGTCAATGAGGCTTACGCCACTAGGCGCATTGAGGCGACGCCTCATTCAGGTTAAATTTAATAAATTTTTAATTATATATTATTATTAGCACATATTTTACTTTATTATACAAGAAAAGTAATCGATTAACTATAAGTCGAATGAACAAGTTAGTTTATGTTATATTTAACAAAAATTGAAAGATACATACCTCAAATTACAGTGGAAAATAACTAGTGATGATGAAATGTGTCCTTTGGTTGTTGATAGCATAATATATGATGAAGAATGGATACAACAATAACAATAACAAGCCTTTAATCCACTATGTGGGGTCAGCTACATGAATCTTTTTTCGCCATTGTGTCCTATTAAGAGTCATTCTCATTTAAATCTAATAAGAAAATATCATTTATAATATTTTTTAACAAAGTCTTTTTAGATCTAGCTCTACATTTCTTAACATGAATCAAATCTAATATATCTACTCTCCTAACCGGGCCATTGAAAGGCCACCGTTTTATATGACCACACCATCTAAGGCGACTCTCTCTAATGAAAGATCTAAAGAAGATGGAGAAATGAACTTTAATAATGAATAGAATGGACATATCATACAAATATTAAAATGGCTATTGAATCAGTAGTAGCTTCTACTTCATAATCATTTAAAAGAAAAGCACATTGGGGGTTAAAGCGTCAAAAAAATCAAAAGGTAACTTAAGCACAATGAAATATTTTGTTGTATTATCAATTTGCTACTTTATTAACACTGTCATTGCCAGGTCCCAAGTCCTGGATGAGAAAAGTGGAGGGTTGTGTTAGGTAGTCGACAGCCAGCGTAAAACTTGTTGAACAATAATGACATGAATCATTTAAGAAATTGTGTTAATGCTAGGGCGTCCCCTGGAAGCGACGCGCTGTATGGCCTGAATACAGTGACAAGTGTGCAAGGGCCGCTGCACCGGCGCCCGGGTGCAGTGTTAAATAGGCAAGGGTTCCCACATCAAGGACAGATGTGGGCAAAGAAGCTAGTGCATGAAACTAAAATTAGGATAGGACCTTGGAATATAGGTTCCCTTACAGAAAAATTAATGGAATTAACATACATTATGATTCATAGGAAGTTAAATATTTTATGCATTCAGGAAACTAAATGGGTTGGAGAAAAGGCTAAGGAAATTGATAGTTTAGGATTTAAACTTTGGTATTCGGGTAGGAGTCGTACTAGAAATGGTGTAGGTGTTATTATAGATAAGAGTTTAAAGGATAATGTTATAAAAATTAATAGGATTGGAGATAGAATTATAGCTTTAAAGATTGTTATTGATGATAAGATTGTTAATATTATAAGTGCTTATGCTCCTCAAGTAGGTTTGGATATGACGTTAGGAGAGTAGAGGTATTAGATTTGACTTATGTTAAGAAAGGTAGGGGTAGACCTAAAAAGGCTTGGTTAGAAAATATTAGAAATGACCTTTCTTTATTAGATTTAAACGAGAATTTGACTTTTAATAGGACACAATGGAGAAAAAGGATTCAAGTAGCCGACCCCATGTAATGGGATAAAGGATTGATGTTGTTGTTGTTGTATTAATTTGCTACTTTATATTATATTGAAAACAATGTTAATAAATATACTGAGTAAGAAAATAATTTTGTAACTAAAAAAAATTAAAGATGACAATGAGATAGAATTCAAAGATGATTTAAATATTACATATGAAGTATCTTCTAAAAAATATGAAAGTGAGGATGAGGCCATCATGGATAATAATCCTCATGATGTATTTAAGTTTTAAGTGATTGTTTATCTTGAATTTTGTTTCAAACTTTTGATTTATAATAATATTTAATATTGAGATTTGGGTTTTTCTTTATGATGATTTTGTTGATGATGATGTTGTTGTTGTTGATGAAGAATCAAGTAAATATGTTGATGGTTTAATTTATTTTCATCATTTTTTATGAAATATTTATAATTGTATAAGTTTTTTATCTTTTTGTTGCAAGGCTTACACCTCGAGATTTGCGCCTCAACTTGCTAAGATAAAATGCCTTGATTCCTGATTTCTCCTTTTCAAACTTAAGAAATACAATAATAAATTTCCTGTTATGTTAGATTTGATTGAAGAAATTACTCAAATATTGTCTTATAACATACCTATTCATTCATTTATAATGTGGGGAAACCTCTTAGTGAGAACAAGCAATCTAGGCAAGTAGTTTTGTTTGTCACCAACCACCTAAATCAACATCTACATGCCATCAATATGGCAGACATCCATGGTACATGAAATTTCATAGAAACCCCTTAATCCTAATCATATATAAATGGAGTTTAAAATCGTTATGACAAAATGCCTTGATTCCTACTTGACACTATTCATAAAAAAAAAAATGTAGTTTACATGTTCAGTGATAAATCCTATATTAACACTTGCAAAAATCTCCCTGGTACTACCCAGGTGCGAAGAACCCCAGAGGCCTAAGATCAGGCCAAAAGGCATAGTCGATCAATCTACTAATGAAGAATTAAATAAAAAAATAAAGACAGGAAATATTTATTAGGCATACCCTCCATCAAGTTGCGTAATTAGGGCTTCAAATGTAGCCCGTCTTCTAGGATCTTTTCTAGCATGTCGGCCCGCAATAGCATCAATCTCATCCACAAAAACAAATGAAGGAGCCTGGCAGAATATTAGTTAATTGAGACAGTGAGATTGCCAAAAAGGTTAAAAGTTTGATAGTACTATACTAACACAAAGTTTAATGTTAAAATGCAGCTCTTGTAGGATATCACTTGAAAAAGACCATTTTGCAAGCATAAAATACACTCTACATGCAATATATAAAACATAACAATGCCTGCCTGCCAAACTACAGCAATTCCTGCGTTGAAAAACTCCTTGACAATGCAACCACAGGAAAAAAGCAATCTGGATGGTCATTGCCTAAATCATGTTCAAGTGATTTCTTCCTTTGAAACCTCCCCTCCAGTTTTTTCAATCATGTGGTACAGATAGTGCTTGGTCTTTACCAAGCCCTCTACATACCTTGAAGTTAACTATGCCTTGAAATCAAGAGCAAGAAGACGCAGGTAGTTAAAAAATATTAATTAATTAAACGTACATTTCTTTTGGCTATGGAAAATAGTTGATTAATTCTTGCTGCGCCACTTTTTTCACTGTCAGCAAATTCAGCACCAGATGCAAAAACAAATGGCAGTCCGCTTTCCTTGGCAAGTGTCCGAGCAAAAAGTGTTTTACCTGTCCCAGGTGGTCCAGAAAGAAGTAAACCCTAGCACACATAACAGCAAAGGAAATAGCTTATAGTAAAAGTTATAAGTTAAAATGGATGGCAATATTGATCACACAAAAGCATAAGAAATAAAAGACGAATTTATGTCACAAAAACAAAAATATGAGTTGAAATGGATTACTCGAACAAATGGAACTTTTTTTTCGTAGTATTGCATGGGATTGTTCATATATATCATTATCTCATCCAGAAGATCCCAAACATCACCTCCTAATATCACCTCATTATACATTGATTTCACCTCCTCGGAACTTTCTACTGGCTGTAAGGAAACAGTATCTATTAGTATTTGCCAATATGAGGGAGCTGAATTCATTGGCATCTAATTGCAAGAACTAAATATTACTATAGAAGAAACAAGTAAGGTTGCTTTCATGAAACCTACCAGAATGAAGTTCTCTGTATATGCCATATCAAAAAGTTGGTTATATTTTTTGTATAGATAACGCTTAGAGGTGACATGTAACAGCATCACCGACTCTCTTATAAGGTACAAAATAATTAATCCTGGCGCTAAAGCAATCACAACTTTCAGAAAATAATGGATTTGCTTTTTCTGAAGGAGATCCACATCAGCACCCGAACTTGAGATAACCTCAAACTTAAAAGGGTCCAGAGGAATATCCACCTAAAAACAAACCATCCCGAATTAATTACAGGAGAGCTAAAAATGTGTATTGAAGCAGAAATCTCTTTACCAATGAACTAATAAGACCAATTTTAGACTTACAATATATTCCAAAGGGAATCCTTCTTTCATTGTCACGTATAGTCTCTTCAAATCCTCTTCAAAGACAATTGCTGCAACCTGCTCCACATATATATGAACAAAATAGACACCTTAGCATATAACAAAAGGTGTTTAAGATTAAGATGTTTAAACAGCAGACGATCAATTTTCAGTGCCTAAGCAGAAGATTAATTTTTTTCACCAAAATGAAGAACAGCAGTTTATTAGCCTTATTAGCCTTAATATGTCAATATGTGCAATTCTACTCAGCTAAAGAAATTTTAAATAACATTAAAAAAAAAATAAAATAAAATAAAAAAATTTAAAGAAAAAGCTCAAAATAGTCCCACAACTATTTATATGTGGCTAATTTAATCCCAAAATATTATATTTCTCCAATATAGTGCGTCACTTACACAAAATTGATCCAAATGGTCCCTTAGAAACAATTGGAAATTGGGATAAAAAATTGATCCCAATTTAGTCCCTCGAATAGACAAGAATGACTCCAATTTAGTCCCTAAGGTGCCATTCAAGCTTAATTTTATATAGTCAATGGACTAAATTAGAGAAATATTATACTCTACGACTCGATGGACTATTTTGATTTTTTCATGACTACTACAAAATAGCATTGGCACCTTATGTAGCATTCAACCAGAATGAATACAAGATAACAATTCATAGAACTAGCCCGAAGAAGTTAGTGATGATGATAATGTTGACGATGATGATGACGACGACAAAAGAATCTTCAATATTAGGTTAGGAGATTAGGAGATGAATAAAATAATTCCAAGTAAAAAAAGGTAAAATGACAGATAAAATTTTGCTATAAACTTTGTTTAGTAGTCATAACAAAGAATGAATAAGATGCATGTTCGCAATCAAGTATTCATGTACGAGCAACCACTAGCAAATTTAAATGAATCAGATTTGGAATAAAGTGTAATATGAATGTTTAAAGATTTTTTCCAGTTAAGAACATTTTGAAAAAAAGTATTATTTTGAATAAACTGCATACTCATTCTCTTGATGCAAACAGTAAAAACAAATATATTGTTATGAAAGTATGCAATCATATAATACAAGTATAAACGATAAATATGTGAAGTTACTGAATATATAAATTAATAAAGATTATCTATAAAAATAGTATAATATCTGAATTATAGGTGGAGCAAAAGGGACTACATGTATAATATCTACATTGTAGGGGGGGGGAAGATATGATATATGCATAACATGTGGGACAAAATGGATTACCTAAAGAGGCAAAATGGATCTCTATGTAGCTCCGTGATGATAATGCCAGATTTATCTGGACTTCATTGAACATTTTTATAAAAGTTTAGACAAATCTTTAAAGACTAATATTGATATTATGTACATATGTCAAATGAAGGAAAAGATAAATTTCTTTTTTAAAAAAATGATTTATGTTGTTTTGCAAAAGTTTCTGAATTAATTCAATTATATTATTCTTTATAACCTGGTATTTAATTTTTATGTAAATTTGCACACCGTATTAAGCTTCATTGCTCAACAGCTATTTTATATTGGTTGTTATTATAGAGAAAGAAAAGGGAAAACTTGAAGCAGAATAGGTTCAAGTTTAATTCACTCTATGTTCTTGTTTTTAGAAATGCTTGTAAGTCAACTTGGAGGTATGTAGACTGTTCAGTGTTTTTCTCATTTGGATTCTCTTAGTGACTCTGTACATATTTATGTGACGAAAGTTGGATTAATTAGATGCTTCCGTGAATTTAGTAATGTATTTGTTAGTGGTTGTTTTATTCAACTATGACATTTATGAGAAATGGTAAAAGTAAAGAATGAATGTTATATTCATTTATGTGGCACTCTATGTTATCGTTAAGAGGTATCGTGGGGTATTATAAAAGTGATATCAGAACAAAGATTTAATGTTCTGAGGATTTTATTACGGAAGCTTAAGCAAATTTAGTTGTCTAAGAGAATAAGATTGAATATGATGGAATTATCTGTTAAGATTCATCATCAACAAGACTTTCAGCATGATATCTATTTTATGTTACTAGATCAATCAAATTACGGGAAGAATAATTTTGAGATTGATGAATTAAAATAGCATGTTTACAGATGGCCACCTTCATAGACCTAGTTCCAAAAGATATTTGTAGCACAAAATATAAATGGATCATATTGTCTAATAATTACTAACTTAAGAGAGCAATTCACCTTCATAAATAGTCTACTTTTCTAATGAGAGCAAGTTATCACTACTGGAAGATCCCTTGAACTTGCATTGGTGTTTATTATATGCACTTTGTTTCCTAATGAAGTCGTTCATCAAACTTTCCTTCGATTATAGCATGCAGCACATATTTATTATATTGGATTACTTATAGTTCAGTTGCATGAGTTATTGCCAACACTAAAAAATTAAATGTCATGTTGGGTAAGTTGCATTTCCTATACCTATCAGGTATGGTTTATGCATTATACATATAAAATGTTACCAAGCAGAGTCTTAAAGCCTAATTATAATTTTCAAAAAATATTACTTATTGTATTTGTACTTGCTTTTCTTTCCATGAAAATGTTACTCTTACTTCCCACTATTGATGAATTGCTAACATATATGCACAAACTTTTGAGCCTCCTGACTTTTCTACATATATCTCTACAGTTGGAATGCCTACCTCACCGCCAGTAGCGCTAGTTTCAATCCTCTACCAGCACCAACATCAAATTTTGAAAACGTTCTATAATATAAATTTAGCATCCTCAATTTCATTTATTGGCAACATTGTCCACTGCAAGATGATTCATAGGCGATACATGATAAATTTTAGTGTTTTCTCCCGATATATTTGATAGCCACCTTCAATATAACTTTCTAAAAGAGACTTCATGATGCGAGCAAAAATCTCCCTGGGGAGAGGGACCCCAAGAAAATTCTTGATCACAAAAAAAAGACAACACACTTTGACTTGGTTAATTATAGGGAAGAACAAACTCTTACATTTCAAATAAGAAAAAACACACTTACAAACTTGACTCTAACATGACAAGACTCTTACAAACTTGACTCAACCAAGACACCCTAAAGAAGCTTTCCAAAAGAAGAAGGATATAGGTGGGGTGTAAACTTGCGGAGAGACGAAAGAGATTAGAAGCCGAGAAGAAGGGTGGAAAGTACTCGCAAGTCTTTCCTAGAGGAGATGAGAAGAAGGTGGACAAAGCTCGCAAGCTCCTCCAAGAAATACCCAAGGATTTCTTTTCAAAAATTCATATATCACTCTCTTTAAAACATTATAAAACCCCTCATATTTATAGGTATGAAAGGAGAATACAAACAATCTCATATATATAGGTATGAGAGGAGAAACCAAACAGCCACATAATTGAATTCCCACGGGAATCCAAGCAACACAAACCACGGAAAAGCCCCCCCAACTTCACGGGAAAACAGCCCAGCCAAGGCCCGAAGAGGCAGCCGCGGAAACCCAAGAGGTCAAGCACGGAACCGAGGCACCAAGGCATGGAAAAGGCCACCCAGCACGGAAAACCAGCAGCCCACCGAGGAAGCCAAGGAGCCAAGGCACGGAAATAGCCAACCCGTGAAAGCCAAGGAGCCAAGTACGAAAAACAACCAACCTAGGGATTCCATTTTTGGAATCCCAAGGGACAAACTAAATTTTAAGATATAAAAACTATAAAAAATTACATAATTAAGATAATTTATGAACTAAACCTAGATAATAATAAGCTAACTCTTTTTTTTCTTTTTTTTTCTTTTTTTTTAAAATAATAAGCTAACTCTTAGTTCAATAAATGAACTAAAAATCAGCTCATAAATGATCTAAATTCCAGCTCAAAATTTATTGAGCTAGTAACCTCAAGGGAAGTCAAAACCAAATATTTTTTGATTTGATTTGACCCCCCCCTTTGCCTACATCAGACTCCCCTTCTTGAGAACTCATCTCCCGATGAGTTAGCTTTTGTTTTCTTCTGAGGAGGTGAAGACAGAGCATCCAACTCTTTAATCTTTTCTTCATATTTCTTCAGGATCTCTTCTCGTTCTTTCAGGAATTGATCTTGTAAACGCTGCTTCTTCTTCATGTACCTTTCTGTACACAAGTGCATCCATGATTGAAGTTTGTATAGTTCATACAGCAGAGGATTTGTCAATTCCGATGGAATCCATCTATCCATTGAAAAAGGATCTTCAATTTCATTTGCCTTGCTTTCTTCGATCTTTTTGTTTTTTTTCTTTTTTTTTTTTTTTGTGACTCAAAAAAAAAGACTCAACCTAAAAAAAACTTAGACTCACAAGATTCACAAAACTCACAAGACTTGACTTGACAAACCAAATTAAAAACCTAGGACTTCCTAACTTGCTCTAATACCAAAAAATGATGCGAGCAAAAATCTCCCTAGGGAGAGGGACCCCAAGAAAATTCTTAATCACAAAAAAAAAAGACAACACATTTAGCTAATTATAGGGAAGAACAAACTCTTACATTTCAAATAAGAAAAAACACACTTACAAACTTGACTCTAACAAGACAAGACACTTACAAACTTGACTCAACCAAGACACCCTAAAGAAGCTTTCCAAAAGAAGAAGGATGCATGTGGGGTGTAAACTTGCGGAGAGACGAAAGAGATTAGAAGCCGAGAAGAAGGGTGAAAAGTACTCGCAAGTCTTTCCTAGAGGAGATGAGAAAGGACGAAAGGTGGATAAAGCTCGCAAGCTCCTCCAAGAAAATCCCAAGGATTTCTTTTCAAAAATTCATATATCACTCTCTTTAAAACATTACAAAACCCCTCATATTTATAGGTATGAAAGGAGAATACAAACATCCACATAATTGAATTCCCATAGAAATCCAAGCAACACAAACCACGGAAACCCCACCCCCCAACTTCACGGGAAAACAGCCCAGCCAAGGCCCGAAGAGGCAGCCGCGGAAACCCAAGAGGCCAAGCACGGAACCGAGGCACCAAGGCACAGAAAAGGCCACCCAGCACGAAAAACCAGCAGCCCACCGAGGAAGCCAAGGAGCCAAGGCACGGAAACAGCCAACCCGTGAAAGCCAAGGAGCCAAGCATGGAAAACAACAAACTTAGGGATTCCAAAAGCCATTTTGAAATCCCAAGGGACAAACTAAAATTTAAGATATAAAAACTATAAATAAAAATTACATAATAAAGATAATTAATGAACTAAAACCTAGCTAATAATGAACTAACTCTTAGTTCAATAAATGAACTAAAAACCAGCTCATAAATGAGCTAAATTCCAGCTCAAAATTTATTGAGCTAGTAAGCTCAAGGGAAGTCAAAACCAAATATTTTTGGGTCCCCCTTTGCCTACATCACTTCATATCCCAGAGGAATAAATGGCTATAATCTGATAGAGACGTGTGGTTTAGACAGTAAAATTGAAGACTTTTTTCTTTACTATTTGTCGTATTTATGAGATCTTTTTATAATACACTTTTAAATGTGTTTAATTGATTAAATTGAAATTATTTGTAGTTTATCCAATTAGAGCGTCATTTATGTAATTGTTCCAGAAATAAAACATACCCTAGAGCTTATAATTGATGATGGAACCAACATAGTATTAATTTTGCTAAAACTAGCCATTCTCTTAGAAAACTTAATTCTTTCTGCAATTCCTCTTCATTTCTCTCCCATCGTCAGCCTATCATTTCTTACTCAAAATCCCTCTTGCTTCCCCCTGCTTTCTCCAACATATCTCCCTCATTCTCTCCTCACTGGCATCTTCTATTATTTTCTGCTAAGTGATCCATAAAGGTCCTGTCGCTAGCTACCATGTTCAAGCTACTATGCATCTCTTGTACAGAGCAACTGCAAACCCAGTAACCTATTTTCACTGCCAACAACAGCCAGCAGACCATTTCCTTCACCCAACGCTAACAAAAAAAAAAATGCATTACTGTTGCCTCGCTGCGCCATCCTTCCTGCGTTCCCAGCAAATATTTTTCCTACTATGTAACAAGTTGGCAAAAGTAAAAAAAAAATGACCCAAACCCTGTGCAAATGAAATTAGAGTACATAGTTCATTTATTCTCTTCTGGAAAACAGAAAAGCTAAAGGTTGAACGAATTCCTGCATAAGTAATGCTACATAAGTTATTAAAACTGACTTTTGAAAAGGAAGCCTACCTCAGAGGAATCAAGCTTGTCAAGAAAATAAGTGTAAGGAAGTTTTGGGCGGTACAGCCACCATCTCTTAGAAATCCATAGTGCTCTAGTACCTTCTGAATTTGATGCTTTCTCAACATCTTTACGCAAACTTTTCTCAAGCTCTTGCATATCAAAATCTACAACATATTTGGCTGTTTTAGAGTCGATCTGCTCCGCCAGTTTATCCTTTCTTAAGATCTCTTTCCACGATCTCAGCCGGCCTCTCCAAGCGGTATCACGTTCATGGCCTTCTGTTAAATTGACAGAATGGCGCAGAAGCACATACCGATTATATTTACGGCTTAAGGTTCATCAACCTCGGGAATAATTCACCACTTAAATAATAATAATAATAAAAAAAACCAACCTGAGAAGCCCAAGTCTTCTTTTATCTCTTCTTTTTGTTCAAGGCTCAACCTGGTATCCTTGTCAATAGTACCGCTCACAACACCTCGAGAAGTTTCAGTATCATCATCCCATGCAGCTTCTCCTATATAGGAATTGTCCTGAATATAAGTTCCTCCAGCTCCTTTGGTGAATTTCTTAATTATTAAGCCTTTGGGCATGGCTTTTCGCCACATGCCCTTCTTGAATCTGCAGTAAAGTTTGCCAAAATACCAAAGTGGTATCATTTATCAAAATATATGGCACATAGTTGCAAACTCTATGAACAAAAATATAGCAAGTATATTCCAACAATTGTGAGTTTAACTAATGAAATTTTTAAAGAAAAATCTTAAAATAGTCCCAAGACCATTTGTATATGGCCAATTTAGTCACAGAATATCACGTTGCTTCAATTTAGTCATTCGACTTTACAAAATTGATCCAAAATAATCCCTCTTGTTGTAATTGTGATACAAATTGATCCCAATTTAGTCTCTCAGCTTTACAAAATTGACTCAATTTAGTCCCAAGGGCAATTTTGGATCAATTTTGTATAGTTGATTCACTAAACTAAAACAACGTTATACTCTGAGACTAAAATTATCATAAATGAATAGTCAAGGGGCCATTTTCAAAACAAATCCTTAATTTTTATGATGCATACTCACTGAATTTCAACAGCTCACTTGCAAGTTTGAAAAAGGCAAAACACTTAATTTTAGTAAAGATTGCCTAGCCTGATCAAACACAAATACCAAACTGTTCCCAAGCACAAACTTAGGCAAGCCAACAGCTCAGGATGAATTTCACTGACGACAACGAGCAAATGTAAAGGCTCTATTTATCTAACTGAAAAACATTAATGATAAAATTTTAGTTAATTTCAAATATTATACATAATTTAAAGATTTAATTGAACTGTCAATATCGAATTGATTAAAAATGGACTAATTGCTCAAAATAAAAAAGATAAATTTTTATTTATGTAAATAATACATTTTTGAGAGAAATTATTTGCATGGTAAATTTTATTCAAATATCATCATATAATTAACTAAAAAATTATAAATAAGTCATATTAAATAAAGAATAAAATAAACCAATGTATGAGGTTGAACCAACATAATAAGCCGGTATATAACCTTTCAAGAAGGACAAGGAAAGTGACCAGAGAGAAATATCGAAATAGTGAGCAAGGGAAGAGGAGGCAAAGGCAAGAGAATGAGGGAATGAGAGATCACGTGGGCAGGAGCATCAAGCCAACTGGAGTGTGAACAAGAGCAAATACATGAGAAGGGGGCCGAATGCGAAGAACTGAGCATGAGCAGGGAGAGTTGCAATGCTAATTGCAAGGGGCTTAAGAGCATTGCAGCTTGAGGCCAACTAGGGAAATAGAAACAAAGAATTCAGGCTTCCCTATAGACTTGAACAAGAAAAACCTAGCATATAATTTCTTCTTCCTTTCTTCGTTAAATCAATTTAGAAAAATTAGATTTAAACTCTTATGCATGAAGACGATTCATTAATGAATTTATAGGGTTGATGTTTGATTAATATATAATTTTTTAAAATAAATATTTATAATGCATTTTGTTTAAAAAAATCAGGAATTAATTATCTAAGCAAGTATGAACATGTATTTTGGTAAGGGTTTATAATGGAAGGAGATAATGATTAACAAAAACATGTCATGAGTATGTAAGTGATAATATCAGCTCTTATACATTAATGAGAAGTAAAACATAAAGGTTTTTTAAGAAGAATTATGATAAAATTACACATGCATGTGCATGACTTAGGTTAAGAAGTTTGTGTAACCATGTTTTAAATACATCAGCAAATTTATATATTAGAAATTTAGAATAACAAAGTAAAATTACTCTAGAGATATCTTTAGAGCAATACCTGATGCTAAATAATTTCGCTTTAGCTGTTAAAGTGTAAGGTCACAATCAAGATGGTGGGTTGCTAAGTAGATGTCCCAGAATTTAACTACAAATCAAATCTATTAAAATGGTTGATCTCATCTATGGATTTGGTAATGTTTCCGTTCTACTAAACTACTGTATTTAATTGAGATGTTTATGCTTTATGCTTCTTTGTTAGCATAAAGCATAAGGCACGGATTATTGATACAAGATTAAATTTTAAATGGTTTATAATGATTTTGTCTCTATCTATGTTTTATGTTTTTTAAAACATAAGACAAGCATTATTTCTAAAGATTGTATTTCAAATAATTTAGAACTATTTATTGATCTCAAATAATCCTTATCTTGTTATAGGGGGGGAGGGGGGGGGGGGGGTATATCATAATGTATGATTCAATTGTTCAAGTAAAAAAATTCTATTCTATGCAATGTTTTTTGTATATTGATATTGCGTGTTGAAAGCATGCAAAAGAAAGTACAATAATGCTTATATGATGAAAGATAGAGTCATCATCATTTAGTACTAGAAGAAGATCCTAAAGTACCCGCACATTGATGACTTAACTACTCTACCACATGTAATAGTAGATGCATGAACTGCACCCCGCTGCACTAATGGGGGATGTATCGACCAATGGTAAGCTTGTTAATGTATGTGGCAAACATTTAAATTTTCATTTAATAGTCGATTTTAGCCTCAATACTCCGAGTTCCCAAACTGAGCTTTAACAATGGAAGAAAAAGACAAATGGGAAAATGGCAGTGGTGCAAACAGTGTTTTGAAAATAGGATCAAACCAGCCAGTTCGACCTTAAACTGGTCGAGATACTGGTACAATCAAGTTAGAAAATCAAATTCGAATTGAACTGGCATGAACCGGTTTGAACCACTAGTTCAACCGAAAAACCGTCGAACCAATCCCGGTTTTGTTGAACCGGCCAATTCAATAAATATTATCTTTTATTTTAACTAATTTTTTTATTTTTAAATATCTATGCAAGCAAATTTAATCAGGACATACAGCTGCCACATCATGCAGCTTGATTTCTTGCCTATAATTTGTGCTCTACACTATATGAAGACAACCACTTCAAATTCTCTTATGATGTGGAACTAAAAACTTATGAGAATTTTGAATGAGAGTTGAACTATAAAATTGACCTGAGCTATGAATTTGGACTAAGAATGTGAATAATTTATTAAAGTTAATAACATAAGTTTTTTATATTATAAATTTTATATTATAGGTTTTTTATATTATATTTCATATTAAAAATAATATTTCTATTTTTATGCTTATATTATTAATTTTTTTAACCTATTTAATATCCATATAGCTATATTTATAATGTACATATACTTTGTATCACATTACTGGTCAATCGAGCTTCTTGACAAGCTTTATGTTGAGTGTTAATCTAGTTTATTTATGAGCTTTAATCAAAGTAGTTATGAATTCATTTTTAAAATTTTAATTATCACGTAATTTATATTATATTTGAATAATTTTAATATTTATTATGTCATCCAGTTCAACCCCAGTTCGATCACAGTCGAACCATCAGACTATAAACCTCTCTTTCGATTTGTTGATAGGTCCGATTTTCACAACCTTCAATACAAAGAAAGAAGGAAATAGAATGGAGAAAAAATGGACTTGGGCATTCTCTTCTCTCCCACATTCAAGTTTAGATTAATTTATAAGCCATGGCCATGATGTGCCCAACATGAATACATAAGTGACCATCCTACTCAATCATCACAAAGAGCTCAGCAATTGATCTTAGATTTTTTATGTCAATATTTACATCTAACTCCCCATTGCATTGCAAAATAACCAATATTGAAGAAAAATGAAAATGAATATCACTTGATCACCTAACATTACAGTGACTTAGTCCTTTCATGCAATTTGAAATACATATCCGCACATTTATGCCATCAATCATGACTCAGAGTCAAGTTAACTTACAAGTTATACAACATACAAATGCATACATACTTATTAGCACAAGAATGAATGTACACAACTAGTAGCAGGATTGATAATTATATATCCACAACTTCTGAACCATGTGAACAACAACATGAAAGAAACAAAACTGATCATGAGCTTACTTTTTCACATTGGCTGGAGTTGGCTCTGGAATCAAAGCTTCCATGAATGCCTCAGTTAGGTCTTTTCTGCTTTGTCGATATGCATAACTAGTGAAGTTAACATAAATTCTTCGACATGAAATGGTAATAATTATAGAGTACAAAATGAAGGCACCGAGGCGCTTTGGCTCCCACTTATTTACTTCCTAGCTTATCAATGAGTGTAAATATCTGATCAGGATAGCAATTTCAAAACTGTACAACTCTCTGAAAGGCTAAATTTAATCAACATTTTAGACAAAAATCTCATTTATTAAATGCTAAAAAATAATTAGATGACAATGCAACTGTGAAAGAATCAAAGAGTCAGATGACTTCAGATCTATAGTTTGGAATGCAAATACAAACTAACATTTGTTCACTAACAAAACCCTTCTAAACAATTTATCAAAGTAATACGTTAAGCTAGATCAGAAAACCATCAGATATATCATAAAACTGTCAAGTTAAAATTATTTCATAGAAATGAACAAAACTAAACAAAATTTAGCATCGAATATCAAAAAAATATATCGTAAAACTATCAAGAACCAATAGACATCACAAAATATACAAAATGGCAAGACCATGACTATGTGGTTCTCACATGGACTCGCAATAGTAATAAACATCAAATTTCCTTACCAATTATATTTTTTGAGACTATTAAAAGATGGGCTTCCTTCATTTCACTTATTTTTCATAATAACAGCTTTCAAGTAAACACTATCTAATCTAACATCTTTTCAATAAGGTGACAATTTTTTTCAAGATTATTGTAACACCTCAAAAGGTAAGTCAAATGAACTTATTCAATATTGAACATTTGTCATTGGGGTGCAAACGAGTCGAGTCGAGCTCGTGTCAGGCGCAACTCGAGCTCGACTCACGAGCCAAATCCAACCTCGAACTCGAGTCGAGCTCAAAAAGCGAGCTCGAGCTCGGCTCGTGCCACTGAAAAAGAGCTCGCGAGCTCACTTACACCCCTAATCCCACTACTTGACAAGAATAAAATGAGGAGTTTCTTGCTGCCAGTTTTCTCTTTGATATCTATTCATCAATATAATACATTCAAGCCTAATTATTTGTTGACTTTGTAATCATAACACCTTTATAGCTCTCCCCAGGCATTCTTTGAGCCCCTAAGCTTTATACTTCATCTTCTTCTCATTTTAATCATAATGCTCTAGTCATTAACACTAAAGATGGTTATGATAGGGTTGCTTGTGGTGGCGAGGTGGTGGACGTAGTCATGATCATAATTTCTTTCCACCTTGTCAGCATTGTCAGGGGACTAATCGTGCATATGATCGTTGTTGGGGCAAATTTATATATCATCTTGTTGATCAACAGGTTAGACTACTATTGATAATACTAGTACTCACTTTAGCACTATTTATCCCGATCAAAAAGATTATAATCATTTATTATAGTACCCTCGAATGCATATTGCCTCTCAGGTGATTTCCTCTTATGGTTCTATTACAGTTGCTCATTCTAGTACATAGGAATATTAGATTCTGGTGTAGCTTCCCACATGATAGATAACCACAATTATTTCCTATTTCAACATGCAAACTCGCCCTATTGTCATCTTTAATGATGAAACTCCCTCTTCCATTATAGCAAAAAAATCTATCTATTCCTCAATAACTCAAGATAATATTTTATATGTTCCAAATTTGTCTATCAACTTGTTATGTATCAATTGTTTTATTGAAAGTCCCAATTACTTCATAGTTTTTTTTACCTCTCAATATGTTTTTCAAGATCTCATGAAGAAGACTAGTGATGGTGGAGTTGAAGTAGAAAGAATCTACCATCTCTCACATATTACATCCAAGGTGACAAATTTTTCAAGATTGTTCTTCCAACACCTCGCGTTACTAGTGGCAGATTCATCTTGGCCATCCTCATCATCTCATCTTTGGCGATCACCCAACTTCCCTCCTCTAACTATTAAGTTTGAATGCAAAGCTTGTGAATATGTAAAACAATATGATGTCCCTTTTCCAATATCAACATCATCTCATAGTCGGTCTCCTTTTGATTTAGCACATTCAAATGCTTGGGTCCAAGACTTGTATCAATGTAACTGGTTTTGTTACTTCGCCTCTTTTGTTGATCATCACACTAGAGTAATTTGGGTATACTTGTTAAAGTGATTATCTAAACTCTTTGAAGAATTCAAAAAATTTTCTCAAAGAATAAAAGTTTATTTTTTTCACTTATATTAAAGAATGTTGATTCTACAATGCTCTAGAATATATGCAATCTACTTTTTATTTCTATTACACATAAAACAAAATTATGCATTAGTCACCATACCCTTATATGTCCATGAGTTTTTGGTTGTGCTTGTTTCGTCCACTCTTCATCCAACGTGGGGAGAAACTTTCTCCTTGTTCTATTAAATGTTCATTTCTATGTTATTCTTAGACTCAAAAGGTTGTTGTCATTATAATCCATCTACTAATCATATTTATATCTTTATGATTGTTAACTTTCATGAAACATTCCCTTACCACCCTTTTGTCTCCTCCACTATGAAACTTCGTCCCATTATTCCAAGTCTACCTACTTATATGCCAATATGAGTTTATGCTTATCAGCCACGACAGCCTCCCTCTCATGCAGCCTTGATAGTTTCACTATCTAAGGTTGAATGTATTCCTACAACCTCTGATCACCATCTACCAATTGCTCTCCAAATAGGTATATGACAACTCACAACCTAAAAATCTTTTACCTCATGCACCCTTGTTTCATAGCTTTATCTTGTCTCGCACTAATGTTTATATTTGTAAGACATAAAAAGAAGCGCAGCACTCCAACGTCTGATCACCATCTACTAGTTTCTCTCCAACAGGTATATGACAAGTCACAACCTAATAGTCTATTACCTCATGCACCCATGTTTTGTAGCTTTGCCTTGTCTCGCTCTACTAATTATATTCCAAAGACATAACAAGAAGAGTGGCTCAAACCTAACTAAAAACATGCAATTGATATTAAAATGGGGACTCTTCTTGATCATCACACCTAGGATTTAGCCAGATGACCATGTTGTTGCCAAACCTATTTTTTTATCAGTGGATTTTCATGATCAAGTTTCACCCATATAGTATTATTATTCTTTACAAATCCCAATTGGTGGCTAAAGAATACGCATTGGTTCATGACATTAATTATTTTGAGACTTGTCGTTGGTGGCTCAACCGAACTATGTTCGCCTCCTATCCATCATCATTAACCAAGAGTGGCCTTTACACCAAAGGAATGTGAGCAATGCCTTTCTCAATGACGATCTTTCTGAAGCAATTTATATGAAGCAACATCTAAGATGTGTTGTTCAAGAAGAAAGCAAAATTTATAAGCTTCATAAAGATGTAGATGGGTTAAGCCAAAATCCTCATGTTGTTTGATAAATTTTGCAAGATCCTTGTGTTGATCTGCAAAGCAGCACAATTAATCACTCTATCTGGATTGGTCATTTGCTATCAAGAAAATGATCATTACAGTATATGTTGATGGCAATCTTTTAAGTAAAAGTGACCTTTTATTTTGAGGAAATTAATTGATGCCTTCATATGATATTTATTGCTGAAAATTTAGGAGCTTTGAAGTATTTTCTCGGCTTCGAGTTTGCACAAAACAAAGTTGGTGTCTCTCTTTCCAAAAGAAAATACATCTTAGACCTACTTCAGGAAACTTTCTTGGATGTAAATAAATTGACCCTCCTATCAATGCTTTACATGCTTCCAATGATGACAAAAGCTTCTAAAATACTCTTCGTTATCACCACATTGCAGGTAGCTTATCTATCTGATTGTCACTGGATCTAATATGATGGTGTGATAAGTTAGCATATGCCAAAAATAAGTATAAGGAAGTTCTCTCGAATATTTTAAGAAATATTAAAAGTCTCCGTGAAAAGAACTGGTGTATCATAAACAAACCAATTACAAATGAAGTCTACTTGGTGGCTGATTATGTTGCATATGTAGAAGGTCAAAAATCTACATCCAGATATTGTGTTTTTCTTTGAAAAAATCTAACTTCATTGAGAAGTTAAAAACCATAATGCCATTGTTAGATCTAATATTGAAGTTAAATACAAAGTAATGGCATATTCAACCAATGAATAATGTGGAAAAAATATCTTATTGAAGAATTTGAATTTCCTATTACTCAACCTATAGTTTATGTGTGATAATCATACAGTCGTGCATATTACGAGAAACCCTATCTTTCACAAAAGAATAAAATATATTGAAGTAGATTTTTATATCATCACTCTTCATGCCCTAATAAGAATAGGTAGCAGAAATTTTTACAAGGCCTCTGGAAACACTTCAATCCTCCAATAATTGCAGCAAGTTTGATTCTAGATGATATATGCATTCCATCTTGAAGGGGTGTTATCATATATATTTTTTTTTAGTTTGGAAAGATAGTAATGAGGATATCATCTTTACCATATAATAAAATCACTTAAAGAAGAATTTCCACAAAAATAATTCCACCATTTTTTTCCTATATATAATCACAATTTTTTTCTGATAAATCAATCAATGTGTTCCCAATCACCTCTCAACACATATGAACCAAAGAAAATAGCATTTATTCAAAAACTCATTAAAGAATAGACATCAATAAATGTGCCTGACTTAGTGGCAATTGCCATGTAAGATAGGGGACGTTTTCAAGTTAAAACAAAGTTACGTGAGATACAAAGACTTTTCCATGATAAAATTAAAATCTTCAGCATGTCCAAATTGTTAAGCTTTCATCATCATTATTACTAGTCTTATCTCAAGTATTTGGGATCTGAATTATGAATCATTATTTTTTATTCATTATTAGTTAGTGTTTCCAAAGGTGTGAAATCCATTCTTCGCAAATCCTTTTGAACAACCTTTATCAATGTTATCGTGAGACTACGGCATTTTCCTTCCTGGTCCCCCGGCATTAATTTGACCTATAATAGCCCACTGGTGCAACTTCTATCCTTTGATGTATAAGTTAAAACCACAAGCTTATTTTCAACTTTCTCATCTTCAATTGATGCAATTCTAACCATATGTCTAATACAATAATTTATTAATTTATCATTCTTAATTTTGTTACACATCCATTATATCATTTTGACTTACACCGCACTCAACTTGCTATCAGTTTTTCTATTTCCCAACTGGGTCCTTAACTCATATACACTGTAATCCTGTATAATTTCTGCAACATGTCTTATTGTACAACGCATCCATCAGTTATTATTTCATGAAGGTTATGAAGGTTAGATATCTCTTATCTCCCCCACTGGCAAGGCCCAAATAGCCTATGCATCAACATTGGCAGTTTCTACAGCGAACTGTTATGGTATTCTAATCACTTTGAAGAGCAGTTATTCACATTGTCATATCTATCAAGCAGTTCTTAGCACATTTCTTTAAAATCCAAGAACTTCCAGTTCGTAGCTTTTTTAAAGAGAATGCAACAAAGCTCTTTTTACTATTGTAACCTAAAACGTTCCTAGAACACCCATGTAGAGATAAACATCGTTAACATATGAACTTAGTAAGTGAAATCCTTCTCCTATCGACATTATTTTAATGAATATTCCATCAATCTCAGAAAACAACACAGTACAGTCACTTCTGCACTTTTGAAAATCATCTGCAAGTTATGACATTATGCGCCATCTTTCTGGCAAGGTATGGCCATTATCACAAAACAAATGTCTACATGCAGAGGGATATAGAGAATATTCAAAAATACAAAAAATGAATAATCATCTCTAGAGATCACCCCTACGCAACAAATCTCATCGCAACCGTAACATTCTCACGTAAACAACCACATCAAACAAGCAGAAAAAAGCATATAAAATAATGTATCCCCATAGGAAAAACGGCACCTTCCAATTTTCCCATCGATTCCAATCCACAAATGCCGGCAGCATCTCCAACCTGAACCAATCGACCGCCTTCCGCCCTTCGTTCACAGCCTCAACAACTCCTCCCACCAGTTTCCCGGCATCGGAATCAAAACCCGTTTCCTTCTTCAGACTTTCCGTGAATTTGGACCAGAACCGCTCCGACCCAACCCTCGCTGACCTAGCAACCCTGTCCCACCAGAAATCTCCAGAACCATCTTCATTTCCAAAAGCGGTGGCCCTAATGGAATAAATGTTTCCTTTACTTCGGCACAGCCTCCTTCTTCTTGCGGGAACCGCGGGTAGGAAGCAAAATTGCCGGAGAGGGGGTGAGTTACAGAAGTGAGAGGGAGAATGGAGAAGTGGGTTCCGAGAGAAGTGGGCGCCAACCTCCATTGGGAACTCAGAAACAGACAATGGAGCAGCACTTCAGGGAGATCAGCGAGAGGTACAACATCAAAAGAGCAACAGGAGAGTGAGAACGGATGGACTATGCTTTGCGAGGGTTTTGGGGTTTTGGGTTTATGTTGGAGGTGTGGAGGGGAATGGAGATAAGACTATAAGAGACGGCTTGAACCGGTTTTAGAGATTAGTTATTTAAGGGAATTTACATTTACGGATTTACATGAATACCTAGTTAAATATTTAACATTTAAAAGTTAATATTTATATTTCTAATATTAATTTTTTAAATAACATTAAAAATCATTAGCATTATTTTTAAAAAATATTTATTTTTTATATAAATATTTTGATATAATTGAGAAACTAAAATATTGCATAACTAATATTAAAGTTTAGATGTTACATACATAAATATATAAAAATTATGTGATATGCATATAAATCCCATTAATTAATTGCAATATAGAGGAGAATCTTTTTTTAATTTATTTTAAATAATATATATTTGACATGGGAATTTTTTAATTTCAAGAACTAGAAAATAGTTTTTAAAAATTTTATCAATTAAATTAATTAACACCTATATTATAATAATTAATTGTTCCATATGACTAATAATTATAATAAAAGACAATATACAAGAAAGGGAAAATAAATTAATCAATTGTTCCTAAATATATGTATTATTTTAAATTAAAGTTTAATTATTATCACTAGCTAAAATTATAGAAAATTTGTATAAGGGTGTCCAAATAAGTTTTGAAACAATAACAAAAATATTTTAAATATGCATGTACTTCATGTTATACATCAAGTGTTGTCCATCAATCTCACAATAGTACTCATGGTAGAAAATGTATTATAAAGGTTTAAGAGTTTAGATGTATTTGGCTAATAATTTAGTTATATTGTCGACGACCAGTTTAAGCGCATAAATGGTTAAAATGTGATGCATGAAATTAATGATATGTACCGTAAAAATAGGTTCATCTTGGTATAAAACATATCACGATATCCTAACATAAATTTTTAATGAATTTATACACATGCGCACACACACACAAAAAGAAGCACTTAAAAAATTGTTCATGAGGCATATTTTGTCACGACCCAACCTAGATATTCGAATTAACAAGCCAGAAATGGATGGTTAGACTGTAATAAATTTCTTTCAAATCCATAAGCACTGAGATTTAACATCCACATAATATTGAAGAGCCATCAACAAACTTACAAATTCGAATATACACATAAACCAAATTTTACCTTCATTCATTTGATCATCTTCTACATAATTATTCTTCTTTTTCAGTCATTTCTATTTATCAGCATATTTACCTGAAATTTTATTTTAACAATTTAATTTTACATAAAAAACTCAGTAGACAATCATACTTGCAGCATAGCAGTTGTACATGCATATATAAAATAATCATATTCATTTGATTTTCTTTTGCAGTATATATATATATATATATATATATAATCTAGCTTGAATCAATTGTAAGGAAGGGTGAAGGTTGGAGACAAAATTGGCAATAAGAAACTCATCATTCTACTTATGTAAAGTAGTAAGGTTGGCAATTTGGTGCTCTTGAATAAATGTGTCCCTCTATTATGAAAAGAATAGTTTAAAGTTGAATATATATAAAATATATAGAATCAACTCCTTATCACAATACACTAAGAGCCATTTTATTGTAATTATCATTTTGCTTTGATCTTTCAATTTTGAGATTCAACAAATATCTAATTCATATGATTGATAATAAAAAGTTAACACTCATAGATTATTTATTTTCACAAAATAGAAATAAATGGTAAGTAACAATTTTTGCAGCTTATCATGTCCCATGATTTATAGTTAGAATAAAATTTATCATGAAACTACAATATGAAACTTTATCGAGTTCAAAACTCTTAACTAAATCATTTCAAAATATACACCGAGTAAATCTATACCACTATTATAAAATGTGCTTATATTTCTTCCAACATGAGATCCCAACCTTCATTCTATATAAGATTATTTTCTCAACTATTATTCCTATTAATTATTTTATTTATTTTCTTATATTATTATGTTTTGTTACTTAAAAGACTATATTTAATAGCTTTAATTTGCTTTATGGAATCATTAATTGTTATTTTATCCCTTAATTGTTAAATTCTTATTAGTATTTTATATCTCAACTCAACTAGGAGAAAAGCACTTTGCATACCATCTACATCAGAAATGCATTGCATCTCTCAACTACTAATTTATTCATATTTAATCCTTACCTCACTTGCTGTGAGCACGGACATGGACCGAAGGTGGAAGGGCTTTTCTTTGACGAGCTCACGAACTTAAGGCAAACTACCCATCTTCTTTCTTCTTCGAAAGCCCACACAGCCAAACTTAATCTTCTCAGGTGATTGGCGACGGCATGTCTCTCTCTCTCTCTAGTGATTGTATAAGCTACAACAGATACTGCAGATTTGAAAGTAAGAAAAATGGTTTGCTTTGAACTACAAAGGTTCTTCTTATTTCCCTAATATGCAAGTACTTCATGCAATTAAGTGGCTATTAGCATACCGTGCCGTTTTAGTAACTGTGGTATAAAGTTCGAATATGGGGTTAATTTTTAATGGAATAAGTAGATTTGGTACTTGAAATTTAATTAAATGTACCCAATGTAATTGCCTAAGGATGATTTCAATTTCTGCAATAGTTTGTTCATACATGTTATTGTTAAAATTGTTTAAAACAAATTGCTCAATCATTTGTAAAAAATAATCAATTGATTTTGTCTTAGTGTATGTTGTTCGATGTCAAAATTTTGGCACATTCAAACATTTTTATAAATTAGCAGATATTCCTAAATGCATTCTTAGGGGGAAATGAGTTAAATAAAAAAAAAAAACGGAGGCTAGAAAGTGAATGTGCAACTATACATCCTAAATCTTCCCTGTCAATGGCTTTCTTTCACAGTTAATAGAAGTATATCATTGCTTCAAAATGGAGTGGTAGAATAGAAGGAAAGGGGGGTTTTGTATGGTATATTAGTAAATATAGAAGTTTAGGCGTTGGTTATGTATTTTTAATTGTTTTAGGTGTTATGTATGTAAAAATCCTTTTTTAAAAAAATAGTCATCTATGCCGGTCCCAAGCCCAGATGAAAAAGGTTGAGAATTTTTTCTTAAACTCAATAATTTGTGCCCCCACATGAAAAAAATCCTAACTTTGCCCTTGACCATTACCATCATCATGCATCGTTCCTTGTAAACAGATCCCTACATTGATTAAAGAAGTTTATGCATGGAAGAAATATATTTACTTTGGTTAATAGTGAAATTAAAGGATATTTTTTGTTGATCTCCATGATTTACAATAATATGATGGTGCCAAGCTTAAATAGGTTCTATCTTATTGTTTTCCATGAATTAAAATAATATGATTATACCAAGCTCAAAATAGTGTTATCATTTCACTAAATGAAGTCTTTTTTGTCTTGGCTTAATGGTTAAGTTTATGCCTCTTATGAACTAAGGCAAACTTTACATATTAAATTGTTAGTTTAGGTCATCCACGACATTTCTATATCAGACCTAAAGAGAGAGCATGTTCAAAACAAAATTTTAAGCTCAATCAACTAATTATAAATCGAAAATCACATTCATATTCTGCTCATAAGCTCTAGTTATATTTCAATTCCTCTAATAATCATTGCTCTGCTCTAACAGGTACTTTAAGCTTCTATAGTCCATCCTAACGATAAAATATTGACCCAATAAGTAAAGCTGTCACTTTTAAATAGCCAACACTATTGTCATCAATGCCCTATTATAGATTATTCAGCCTCGCTCTAACCATCAAAACCTAACTGAAGTAAGCTATGAGTTTGTGATTTTGTATGAGCACTACCCCCAATTCATTAGGGGTGTCAATAATTGACCCGACCCGACAACCCGACCCGAACCCGACCCGAAAAATCCGGGTTCGGGTCAACCCGTTTAACAAACGGGTCGGGTTCGGGTCTTAAGTTTCAAAAAAAAAAGCAATGCTGCGACCGTGCGACGACTCACGACGCCGACGAGGCCGTGACGCCTTGTCCGTGAGGCTGCGATTCATGCGAAGCCTTGTTTGCGAACGCCGAACGGCGACTTCGCGGTCCGCACACGCACCGGACATCGGCTGCCGTCAACGTCCCGCCGAACGGCGACTGCAGCATCTCTGGCACCCCCAAAGGGGTTCGCGGGTCGGGTCGGGTCAACCCGGCAACCCGTGCGGGTCGGGTCCGGGTTTAATTTTTTGACCCGTTTACCTAAATGGGTCGGGTTCGGGTTGACCCGTTTATATCCGGGTCAAATCGGGTTCGACCCGAACCCGACCCGTCGACCCGAATTGACACCCCTACAATTCATACCCCGATGCGTTAGTCTCTAACACGAAAAATTGGCTAAAATCTGGTATGGCCAGGATCGATACTGTACTCATGATCTTCTTTAACCTCTCAAAGGCCAAGGTAGCTGCCTCTCCCCACAATAAACTATTTTTTTTCAGTTGCTTTGTCAATGGCCAGGCTATGGTGTTGCACCCCATCACAAATCTCCTGTAATATCTAATCAATCCTAAGAAGCCCCAATGCTCCCTTAAATTCCTAGATAGAGGCCCTTTCAACATTGCTTCAATCTTGACATAATTAGTTGTCATGCCACCCCCCATACCCCAAGTACTCCATAATGGCCCGTGTGCAAAATAATACTTCTTCAGATTGGCCCTCAACTGGGGCTTATGTAACACTTTTAAGACCACCATCAAGTGCTCCAAATGCTCATCATCTATCTGATCTGCAATATACCAAGATGCCATCAAATAAAATTAATATGAACCTCCTAAAATATGGTCAGAACACCATGTTCATGAGAGACTGGTATGTATCGCGGGGGAGGGGGTGGGTTGGTTTGGCTAAAATGCAACACCTGAAACGCGTAGTGCCCCTTATGAGTCCTGAATGCAATTTTTGGAACTTCCTTCTCTCTCATCTTGATCTGATGGTAACTAAACTTCAGGTCCATCTTTGTAAACACCAATGCTCTACACAACTTATCTACAGCTCATCTATCACAATCTCCTTGTTTAAAACCCGATAATCAATACATAAAGTCTAGCTCTCATCCTTCTTTTTGTCCAATAAGACTGGGTTAGAAAAAGGACTTATACTTAGCCTGATGATCTCTGCGTCTAACATCTCTCTGATTAACTTCTCAATCTCAAGGATCTGAATTAGAGCTTACCAATAAAAAAATATGATTGCTTTTTTGTTATGTATGGAGTCTCATATCATAGGATTTTTTATCATTTCCCGAAAATATGTAAAACCAAGTAATAAGCACACAACCCAATAATTAATTAAAATATTACTTCTTAAATCAATGCAAGATAACAAAGAACAATATACAATAAATCATATAAATATATATATATATATATGCATCAATGTCTATACTAATTATTTGTATCAATTTATTGTTCTATAGTTCATCATATTTCAATCTATTATATCAATAGTAATAGTCAACAATATTAATGTCAATAATAATATATTAATATCATGATTAATAATATTAAATAGTTTTAATTATTGTAAATAATATTAGTGTTAATTATAATATTAGTACATTGTTCGTAGCAGTATTAGTATCAATATTTAGATATTCAATGAGTGTATATTGAGGGCATCTTGCTCCTACACTTATGACTCATAATCAATTTACTTCTTATAATTATTCTTGAATCATGTGAATTAGTCCCCCAGACACCTTATAACTTCTAATCAATCTCCAGCTTTTTATGACTCCAACTCAGTAAATCATGTGGATCAGTAGGTATCACATGGAGTTATCATATCGTGTATTTAATATCATTCAATACTTCATTTAAAATGAAATAAAATTATATTAAATTATTCAGAATGTTCAAATATATAACATGTTAAAACTTGTACGAGGAAAGCTTATGAAATAAGGAAATAATGCATTTTTTACAGATTTAATAGAGATAAAATTCATATAAATCAAAATCATTAAATACAAAAGTAAGATATTAGTCACTTACAATGAATATACCAAAATATTTAACATGAATAATGACAAACAAATATGATCCAAAGACGTCTCTATCTCTTTCTCCTATATTTTATTCCCCTATTTCAAGTTCTTCTTAGCCAAGCAACCAAATGAGGGAGCCGGTGGGGTGAGACAGGAATATTTATGAATATATAAGTACTATTCATATCTTAGCACAACAATGCTCCCCAGATCAACGCCAAAGCGCACTAATTTAGAATTTTTCATGTTTTTCAAATATATTTATTTCACATATTTTAGTTTATTACAGTTTAAGCCTTTTGAGGTATGTGCATTAATTATCATCAACATCATTAGTAGCTTGATCACAATTATTTTGAGAGTAGGACATGCCCTTTGAAATTCACATTGAATAAATGATTTAAATGTAAAAAAAAATATTGGACATTTATAGTAAACAACTTGCAATCAATAATAAAGTTAAATTATATTTTAATCATGTTAATGCTTATAATAAATATTATTATATGATGCATTTTTCAAAATCATAAATATAGCCTATTTTGCATAAGTCTTATATCTTGAAAATTTTTTTTTTATAGAAATTGTATTGTATCATGGCATATATTCTAACGTAAAATATATTAGGATGACTTCAAAATCTATACACCATACAAAAAATATTAGAATTTTTTATTTAAAAATTAGGATGGGGACAAAACACTTAATTTTTTAGACATGTGATAGATTTTGAATTCATCATGATAATGTTCTATGTCAGGAAGACTTGATATATATATATATATATATTCCTTTTTATTTTAATAGGGTCTATTAAAATCCTTTAATTTATAATAACTTTAATTTCTACACATGGCCATCTTAAATTTTGATAATTTTATTATTTTTATTAACATCATAAACAAATGTAACATTTAAAATAATTTTTCATTAATCTATTATTTAAGTGTAAATAATATAGTTGATTTACTATTCTTGATCTCAAGAACGAATCTCATTTTTTCATTTTTTTTTTAATTTGAGTTTTAAGAAGGAGAACTCAAGTTATTTGAATTTCAACCTTCGTGCTTCAATATTTTTAAAAGTAAAAGGCAATCATTTATGAATAATTACAATAAAACAAGCAAATCCTTATAGTTTGTTACTCCAAACTTATAGTTTAATGCAAGAAATGGTAAAAAGTTTGAGCTAAGTTATTCTCCAATAAAGGAAGATTTTACCAAAAAAATATTTTCATCATTGTCATCTGTGTTGTCAAAATCATATGGATATTTTGCAATTGAATAAGGGAAACTTAGGTTTAGGCTTCTTTAAGATAGCTTTTTTCTCGCTTATGAAAATAGCTTTTTAATGTAAAAATTAAAATTTTGTACTATAAAGTTATTTTTGTACTATAAAGTTATTTTAAGGAGGAGTAAAAAAATTGTCTTAAACAAAGCCCTAGTTTTTTACAGCTTTCTTGATGCTTTGCTTTTGAGACCACAATTATAATTTTTATTTGACTATTACTTTTAATTTATTTTTGTGCTAAAAAGTTATTTTTTATAGTAGATTTAAAAAAAACTGATTTCTCTATAGAAGCTTTAAAATCACCTTCATAAAAAGTCACACTCGTCCCAAATGAGTCCTTAAAATATATGAAGTTCAATCTTTCACACTTAACTTAGAGAGATTAGAGAGAGTCGCCTTAGATGGTTTGGTCACATAAAACGACGGCCTTTCAATGACCCGATTAGGAGAGTAGAGATATTAGATTTAACTTATGTTAAGAAAGATAAAGGCAGACCTAAAAAGACTTGGTTAAAAAATATCAGGAATGACCTTTCTTTATTAGAATTAAATGAGAATTTGACATTTAATAGAACACAATGGAGAAAAAGGATTCATGTAGTCGACCCCACGTAGTGGGATAAAGGCTTGATGTTTTTGTTGTTGTTGTATATTATGAAAGCATATAAGAAAAAAATAATTATATTATGTAACTCATTAGTTTTATTAATATTTAAAATTTTCATAAATTAGTATTATTTGATAATTGTTGCATATGACTAATTCCACGGCATCCTTGTTTTATGTTTATCTCCTTGTCATGGGCCTCTCCTCCCTCGTCAGCGACGCATGTCTTCGTGCGCGCCGTTTCATTCATGTGGGTCCTTAGCCCCAAAAATATCATAAATACTTAACTAATAGCTCTGATCTGAAATGAGTAGTTTCTCTCGTATCGTCTTCGTCGTTTTCCCTACTCCCTGAGCCGAAATAACGCTGGGATCAAGTGATTAATTGCAGCGAAAATGATCGCAAATTGCCTCCGAGCGAAAGCGGCAGCTCAGGTATGGAGCTCAAACTATACGTGAAATCTTTCCCTTTAATTATCTTCTATGTTCTCGCTATTCTGGATAAGCTCCTTGGCTTTTGCAGATTTTATTGAGAATTAGCGGGCGATGACAGACGATTTGCTGTTTTGGGTCTAATTTGGCTCTCGGTTCATTTGCAGGTAGGATGGTTGTGGAGGAATGGGATATTGCCGCAGGCTGCAATGTCGTATGCGAGGTTTATGAGTTCGGAGGCATCTCTGGAAGCCGAGCCGAAGGAAACAAAGGGGTATGGGGAGTTTGATGTCATGTTTTCGGCCTCTATTGTTGCGGCAGTAAGACTAACTATTTGTTATTGTTTTTTTTTTTTTTGGCGGGGGGATAATATTATTAGGTTTAAGGGCCACGATATGCTAGCTCCATTCACTGCTGGATGGCAGAGTACGGATTTGCACCCTTTAGTCATTGAAAGATCTGAGGTAAACATTTTTTTCGTATCTTCAATCAGTTTGAACTTTGCTTCGTTAAAGCCAAAGGTGATAATGAATTTTTTATTTTTATTTTGTCGGTATATGATTTCACCTTGAGGCACTTATCTTTTGACTGTTTATTTGATTGATTTTGATGCCAGTGCAACTTTGCCTTAATATTAGAGAATGGAGCAATAAAGTAAACACAACAAAAGAGAAATACTAATATATGCATTCCTATATTACAATAGTATTGATGCTTAGCACACATTGTAATATTTCATGTGGTAACATTCCTCTACAAACTGAAGAAGACATATGTCAGCTTGCGTTTTGCCAAAATATAAGCAGTCCCTAGTGATGTGGTCAACAAAAGGGAGGCTCTTGGTCCAACTGGTGAAATCTCTCAACATTTTGATGTTGTTACTGACAAGGAGATCTCAGAGTTTTAGGTGGTTGTGGTCGTTTGCTGAACATCAAGTCAACGATTATGGCTGGAGTTTTGAGAATAAATGGCTAGTTGTAGATATGTTTTCTTAATTTGAGAAAATCAAGTTAGCAACCATGGGTTGAATAGTTCAATTATTGGTGTTTGTAGCTTGGTGTAAAAGTGGCCATGTTGTTGGAGTAGGAAATAGGTGACCAATGATGGGTGAGGAAAAGTGCAGAGAAGGTTGAGTGAAAGAGGCGTCAGTGGTGTGGCTTGGATAGTATGACTGTAGCTTGTAAATTGTGATGGATGAGTGTGTGATAGTGTAGCTTTTCAGGAAAAGAGAAACATGAGAGGTGGGATGATTAGGTTTTCTCGATGGATGGAAGATGAAAGCTTGGACTTTGGCAAAGTGCTAGTGGTGGCTCTATTGGAGAGCTAAAGGTGCTTGAGGATGATGAATTCACTTATTACAAGGAAGGTTTTGGAAGGTCTCCTGATATGGAAGAAGAAATGACAGAGGTCTATCTGCTGCAAGGTTTATGCCATACTCGAAGAAATTGGAAATGGTCATCAATGATATATACAAGAGAGAGAAAGGGATGGTTAGAGGCAGGTGGTTTTCTTACAATGATGAGTGTTGAGGCTTGGGGATCGATGAGAAGATGAAGAGGGCATCGATGATAGGAAAATTAAGCAAGGATCATGGACGAGGCCTTGAGGGGAATGGAGCAATGCTAGGGTAAGAAGAGGAGGACTGATGCTAATAAAGGTCGAATGTTAATGGTACATCTGTTAAGGAGATTGGTGGAGAGATGTTTTTGAGGCAAAGATTGAGTTCAAGCAGCTTTTGTTGAAGTTGCTATTTAGCTAAGAGATTGGTGTTGAGGATTATAAGAACGAAAAAGCAGGGGAGATTAGTTGATGGTCGGAGAAGATAAATTAGCTTGGAATGTTGAAGATGGAGATATGAAGAGGAGGTTTATGGTGATTGCTGGGATTGATGATTGGCTTTTATGGGGATGTAGTTTAATGGAGGAAGGAAGGTGAATTTTTTTGGTTGCTTTTAGGAGATGTTGAATTTTGTGAAGGTGAAGATGTGTTAGATGTTGTGTTGGGAAGGGTTTGAATTAAAAGGTTGTAGGGGCCTACTACTTGTTTGTTATGTTTTGAAAGGGATGACATGCTATTGTAAGTTAATGGGGTGAGGGATAAGGCTAATGGTTGTGATCCATTTTGGCAATGATTGTAGTTTTGTGATTGTGGAGGTTGAAGTTGATTGGATGGATTTTTGAGATTGGTTGAGATGTGCTACTATTAGGAATCAAGAGGAATGGTGTGGGAGAGAGGCTAGGGAGAGGGTGTGGTGAGAGGCGCACACTTGCGGAAGAAGAGAGGCCATAGGGTTTGTACATATGATGAGAAGGAGGTTGACAAAAGATGGATTTGCAAAAAACAATTCAACATACTCGGTAGTGGCGCATCCATGGTGGTGCGACAGATGGGAGAGGAGTAGCACTTGGGGTGGTGGGAGCTGCAAGCGCTTGAGGATGCAACGGTGAGTGAAGTAATGTGAACATGTGTATGAGAAATACAACGTGCATTTGAGAGGAAGTGGAGGCTGCATTGTGGTTGTGATTGGCGGATGACACGAGGAAGTTCATACATAGAAAAAATCAAGAGTAGGTTGAGAAACTTGGGGTTCGTGATGTGGGCATGAGGTTTATAGCTGTGCAAGATTTGGCTAGGGTGATAAGTGGTGTAGATTTGAGAGGCAAGTGTTATATGCGAGAGAGAAGGCTCATATGCTATGTAGTCATAATTTTCGGGAGGTAAGAGAGATAGAATGAGATTGGGTGGGATGGAGATGATGGCTACTCATATTCACAAAATTCAAGCTTTATATTGGATTCATTTTCTTCTTACATGTGGGCCAAGCACATAGCATAATCTTTTATTTCTAGCATTCAAATTTTCTTTACTCTTGGGAGCTATCCTGGGATTGTCCATTCGCGGTCAATCTAGAGATAACTCTCTAGAAATTTCTCTCAAATCTTCCCCCAAGAATGCCCAATCACATTTAAGATTATCTTCAAAAATTAATGCATGCAAGATTAATTACCATTTTCACTAATCTTAAAGCATTATCATAGATCTTCCAATAAATTCCACTATGATGCATTGTAAGTTAAACTTCTATTTGTGTAGCACGCCTCATTTTTAACATATGGAATTGACTCACAACTTTCCAAGACACCTTAACAATATGTTATGTTCACTCATTAATTATTTGTATGAAATGTCAGCCGCAAATTTTTTCCTCATATTACTTTATTGCTCAGTTGTACAAATGAGGCTAATTCTCACAAGCTTTATGTTATATTTTCATGCATCTCTAAAGTTTTGTCTCGTAGAGGCCTATAGGCAAATTCTTTATTATTCACTCAATTTGTTTTGGGCTTAGCTTTATCCTCACAGCTCCATTTTGCATTGTACTTGAGAATTGATATGTTTCTCTCGAACATCCATCTAACACCCAGACTTCCGCTCAAGAGCATAATACAACACCTTTTTTTAGGGGACCTTCACTATGACATCATACAACCATGCATGAGGTTGAGTGCAGCCAATTTCCAAGAGCCTAGAATTTTCCTACTAACTGATTCTATGTATACTCATTGCCGTTGTTTTGGTACGACGACTAATGAGATTTCATACATTTAATTTGAACTAGTTCAACTTCAAGTGTCTGTTGCATATAAATACTCTTATAATTTCATTGATGAGGCACTTTTTTAACACTTCTAGACCTTTTTATGCTCTTATTGGATATTTAGTTATTCTCTATAACTTCAAATCTTAAACCTTCTGCTATTGCTGCAAGCTAGCTTAAGAGAATTCAATTCAATTCTAGGTGTTCTGCTCCATTTAACTTTGTTCTCTCTCTGCATCTTTATTTTTCTCTCTTACGTATTGTATATACTATATTGTAACTCCCTGAATAGTTTATGTGGCTATTGTAATCTATACTTGATGCGAAACAATATGCAAAGGAGCTTGTTAAGAAATTTAAAGAAGCATTGATAACGAAATTACACGTAATAACTTATTGAAATGACAAGTCAATTTCCTTAAAGAATTTCAGTTTTCAACTAGCTTAGGCGAGGAAGTACATGTAGATTAGCTAAACTCCAAGATAACCAAAGATAGTAGTAATACTAAAAGCTTTTAATCATAAATCCACAACTTAATAAAGAGAGTTTTCACCTTGGGGAAGTGTCACTCGGCTACACTAGGCTTAGCGGAAGAAAGGTTTTAGCAAACCCGACGATGCCACGAGAACGGTAGCAACCACAACAGTCTTGATCCACGGGAAGGTTATCGGTGGCGAGGACGATGGAAATGATCGACCGTCGATGCTCCAATTGTAATTTGGTTGTCGGCGATCAATGACGCTTGCAAGGGTAGGAATCACTCTTTCCAAGTAATCTCCCACGGTGGCGTCGTCTTCAAATCCTACGTCAAAGAATGGTGACCGTAGGATATTCAAGCTTCCATCGGCGTTGAACACAAGACCCCACTCAAGCTCCGGATCCGCCATGCATGCTTGTGGTTTGTGGAATCCTTCAAGGGGTAGAGGTGAAATACGTGGCGTTGCGAGAGAGAGAACTTTGTAAAATCGAAAAGAAGAAAGGGGAAGGAGAGAGGGGACGGGATTTCCCAGAGGAAGAGGGGCGGCGGCTCAAGGAAGGGAAGATTAGGTTAGGGAGAAAAGAGAGCAAAGGAGTTTTAATCCAAAACCTGAAATTAATTTCAGGTTTTAAGTGGATTTGGAGGGAAATTTCAATTGAAATTAGTTTCAAATTTCAAAGGAATTAAAGGGGGAATTAATAGGCAATTATTGGAGGCTCCTCTATGATGGCCGGCGGCATAGAGAGGATGGGGAGGGATTTAGGGAGTTTCCAAAGATGGAGGACGGATTAGGAAAGTTTTTATAAGATCCAATTTATTTGAATTTCAAATTGGGATCATGAATAAAAAACATTCCTTAATAGGATTTCCAAATTTGGCAAGATTTTGAAGTTCAAATTTTGATTTTCAAATGGAGCCAAAATCTTCATGTCATGCTCAACCTAATTGGGAAGCTTTGTGATGATGTGAATCATCATCAAGATGGCTGGACGGTGAAATGGATGGGCGGCGGCAAGGGGAAAAGCTGGACGGGTGGGGTGCTGTGGACGGGTGGGATGAAGTAAGGAGCTAGTATTTGATGGTTTGGGAAGAAGGCTTAGGAAACAAATGTGGTGTTGAACTTGGATGGTGGTGGTGCTATGGATGCCGTCGGGTGGGGGTGAGGGAGGATGTGGAGATGATGAAAACAAAAAGAAAACCACGAGTTGAGGACTCTTCCAACGACTGGTGGGCCTTGCGATGCGCTCCCCTTGAGCTCTCTCCCTTCTCAAATTCTCATACAAGAAGAAGAAGAAGTAGAAACAAAGTAATTTTCATTCAAAATCATTATTAGCTATTACAAGAGAAAAGACTCCTATAATAAGGTCTCACGCATACAAGAAAAGTAAAGACTAAATTGCCCTCAGGGCCCCAACATGACTCAACTCATCATAAGGTTATAAAAGGAATACATAAAATAAAATGCATAATAACTAAAAATATAAACTCTGAATCGTGGCCGTCGATCTGCGATGCTTCTGGCGATACACCTGGGAACAGGCTAAGATTAGGTTACTCCATGAGGAGACAAGAATAATACAATCACATATCTAGCAACTCGTTGTTCTATTTATGTTGAGTGGTCCGGAAGCTAAGAAAGAGATGGTAATGAAAAACTTAACCAATATTTTAGGATGTTTTAGATCTTAATGTGTTTTTCACGTAGTTGCATAGAGAATAATTCAGAATAGAGCACGCATACCTTAGAGATGTTGCTACATTAAAAATAGGTAGATCGATGAAAATCTCTTATTGCTTTAGTAGTTTGTTACTTTTGTGGAACATAATGATAGCTGTGATATTTGTTTAAAGGCTGTTGAGCATCAATTTGAGAACAACATAATTGAAGCCTAGCCACTTGGTGTATTTGGTGGTTCTGTCTGTTCAGTTGATAGAGAATCAGGATGGTTGAATTTTTTTGCTATCGTTAAAGGAAACAAAATCACAAAACCACAAAGGATAATTGATACTATTTAATTTTGATGATGGAAGTACTAATAGTAGAAGAGAGTTTTATTCCTGGGAGCATAGTGGAGGAAGCTATAGGAGAACACAACAGAGGGAAATAAGTGAGAAGGGGAAGAACTTAGGCAATCGTAGGAAGTAACAGGTGAAAGAGGAGAATAAGTTTCTTAGGTGAATGGTTATGGAGGCATGGACATGCAGTGACTTTGCTCATCTGGATAGATGAGTCTATTATGGATCACAGTGTTGCAAATTGAAGCTTGGACATGCTAACTTGGTAAGATTAAGCGCATTCTCACGTGAGTTTTCTAGTGTAATTGCATGGATAGGGAAGCATCAGGTGAGTGATTTGAGAAGAAGGGAGGGAGTGGCTAGGGAAAAATCAATATACTTTGATACCCTGATTTAGAAAAAAAATGGTAATGTGCTATTGATTGAATAGAAGAGCCTATATATGAGCACATCGAACGAATATAAGAAAGGAAACTAATAAATAGGAGAACATGCTAAATTCTGAGAATATAGAAGTATATCTTTCTAATAATGTATTATCTTAATATAACACTTCTCAATCTTGAAATTTCTTATGATAACAGTCACAATGTTTCTTATAAGAAGTAATAGTTGATGTGCTAAGTAATGTTGTTAAAATATTTTGAGACTATTTGCAATCAACCTTATGGTTTAGATTTCCTTTCATCTTGTAGCTCTGCAAGTCAAAGGAAGCATTCTTTGGCACTTCATTCCTGCACTTTACATAGGTCCTGTTGTAAATCTAGGATATTCTTCGGATGATTTTGTCAATTTTGCATATCTAATTTGATGTGAGCTGCAGGGTTCTTATGTTTACGACATTAATGGGAAGAAATATCTTGATGCTCTTGCTGGATTGTGGTGCACTGCATTAGGTATTAAAAATATATTTTGGCTTGTTATGAGCTACTTTTCATTTTCTTTGTCATTGTAATTTGGAAGAACAATATAATTTTTTAGATATTACTTTGTGCTGAGCTTGAAATATTTTTTTTACTGCAAATATAATTTGAATATAACAGTCTAATGTAACAGTAGAACTTATAATTATTAAGTTTATGAATCATTTGCTTAATATTTTGGAGATTATCTCACCACAATTATATGATCCTCGAGATAAATTTTTTTATTTCTATCTACCTGATGTCTTGATCTTTTGTAAATAACCTAAAAATAATAATTTCCACAATTCAAATCAATTCTGGCTAAACAACACAAATTTATATCAAACAATCTTCCACTAACATTTTTATTCAAAGAGATTTATCCTAATTCAAATTATGAAGTCTATCAATTCAAAATCAAACTCAATTTGCAGGAGAAAGCACCAAAAACTGAAATTTACCTTCCTTGCTATTCTCTCCTTCCCTTTTTTTTCCCATTCTTCCCCCTCGGACTGCAGTTTCAGCTCTTTGTTTCAGCCAGTGGCTGATAGGCTAAGGGAATGAGATTTATTGGGATGTCAGAGAAATAAAATCCTTGTTATACGTTTTAATATAACTTAAATCCTCTCCATTCATAAACATCGCAGCTGTCAAAATTAGGTCCGCCTTTGCTTGCCGAAAACAGTGTATTTCCCAAAAGGCTATATTGTATTAGTGCTGTGAACATTAAATTAAATTGGATGAATATTGCGATTAATTAAAAATTGAGAAATCAATTAAATTAATACATTAATTTGTAAACATTATTATAATAATTTATATTAATATAGATAATGTGTGTGTTGGCCCGGGGGGAGCATATGCCAAAAAGGGTTTTCAAGAAGTTAAAGTTTTTGAGTATTATATCAATCTTGATTGATAATGATATACTGAAACTTACAACAAAAGTGAGCGGAAAGAGCCCAAAATAGAAAATATCAAAATTCACTTTGTTTGAGTTCAGACCCTACATCATTGTGAGAATAGAAAGCACACTTAAAAGAAGAAACTCGATTTCACCTCAAAGAGAATAAATTACAAAAAAAATCTTCTTATTCTGTCGTGACTAAAGCTGCTAATCCTTTAGAAGCCATAGACTCTGAGAGTGAAGGAGCATTAGATTCTAGAGGGTATGTGAGGAATGAAGTGGATCTTTAATATCAAATATAAACCCTAAACAAGAATCATCCTGATGTGAAACCAGGAATTATTTTCTTAGAGATTAATAAAGTTTGTATGAGCAATGATAAAACTAATTTTAAAGCTTCTCAAAATTGAAAACTCAAGAGAGATCTTAGAAGTCAGCAATGCTTAGGCAATCCATTACAACTAAATTTGCAAGTTCTTTAAATAACAACTTAAACAAAAGTAATGAAATGATTAGTCGACTAGAATCTGGCAGTTAACAAAGCGATCGTCTCACCTTGAGGCTCAAAGGCACTCTTCTACGTCTAGGGTTGTCAGAGGAAGAAGAACCATACAAGAAACGAAATCACTCCAAGGTAGACGGCGCCAACGACCCGTAGTGATGGCGAGGGAGGCGGCGGCGGTGGAGGTGGGGAAGCGGGTGGATGTCCGTTGATGGTCCAATCGTAGTCCTGGAATTGACCGTCTATGACGTCCACGAGAGTGGGAAGGATGCGGTTCAAATAGTCTTCAACCGTGTCGTCGAAGCCAAATCCAACGTCGAAGAACAGTGAACGGGTGATGTGGATGTCTCCGTAGACGTAAAATACCAATCCACTATCAATCTCGGGATCCGCCATGCATGATGGGATTGAATGGGGAAGAAGAAATAAAAAGGCGGGGGAGCTTGCTGTGAGCTAGGGAGAGGGAAGGAGGTCTCGGCTTGGGAGGAAGAGAGGGGGCGGGTGAGGCTATGGGGGAAGAGACACAAATCTGAATTTTAATTCAGATTTCCTAAATTATTGAGGGCTTAATTTCAGTTTCAATTTCAAACTTGAAATCAGCCTAGGAGGGAAAGAATTAAGGGTGTATTAAAAGAGAATTAATAGGGGAGAGAGAGAGGAGAGGGGCCGGCCATGTGTAGTGGTGAGAGGGCTTGAGAATTAAACAAGTGGGGACCACAAAGGGTTAAATAAATCTAATCAAAAATCTGAATTTAATTTCAGAATTGATTATATTAAGTAACTCCCAAATTCAAATGAAAATATTAGGGAAATTGAATTTGAATTTCAAAATTGAGTTAAATTCCAATGAATGACTTCCTAAATAGAGAGAAGCTATCTTAGGAAAGAAAATTACTCCATGGAATTTGAAATTCACAGAGGATGGTGGGGGACGGCGGCACAGCTGGGAGGTTGAGAGGGTCAGCAGGTGGGCTGTCGGGCTGGACGGGTTTCCAGCCGGCTGTGGGGCCAGGTGGGACGGTGGGAGGGTGGAGTTCGGCCTGGCAGAAGGTCCAGCCGGCGGTAGGCTGGTAGGGGATATCGGGTAGGGGCTAGGTGGTGGAAGTTTGAGGGAGAGAATGCAGGGGATGGGCGGGGTTTTGGGAAAAGCCTGAGGAGGGAGATGGAGGTAGGAGAATTGTGGAGGGAGGAGGATCTTCAACTAGGAGAAGAAAAGAAACTCTTCCTCTAGAGCTCACTAAGAGATCTTGGGGGAATTTCACTCAAGAACTCACTAAGAGATAAAAAAATGAAATTTTCATTCATCAAAACTACTTCAAATACAATGACTAAGCCTATATATAGGCCATTCGAAAATAAAAACCATAAAGACGACATGGCCCTTGGGCTACAATAAGCACTAACTCCCTCATAGGGGTACAAATGGAAAACATGAAATATAAATGACATGAATAAAATAAAACATCAAAAATAAAGACTAGGAATCATGGACGTCGCTCGACGACCCCTTTGATGGTAGGTGTGCCGAAATCTCCTATGGATGTCCTCATCACATCCATACATATAGCCATCAAATCTCTATAGGAGGAAATTAACGCAAACATGAATATCTAGAATCCATGGCACAGATTTTGAGATTTGGATATCTTGGCACAAATCTCAATGTCCATTGGCACAATCCCCTTTTGAATCCCTAGTTAGGTTGATGTAGGAAATATCCTGATTTGCTGATCTCGAAGCTTCAACATAGCTGTCCTATGTGATCCATAAAAGGGAATATTTGGGACTCTTCAATTAAAATGAGTTAAAATGCAAGTGGCCCTCAACTAGGCTATGAAATTGACGTGTTTACTCCACTTTGTACCTGATTTTGTAAATTAGATGTTGCCTTTCCGATCATAAATGTTGAATTCACATTTCAGTTATTTTTCAAAATTTAGGTTTCAATTCGATTTAGATAACTTTCATCGTTGTCGTACATTCCAAATATATTTTGCCTTAAAAGATTGAACCTTTTCCTGCTTTAGTTTATGATTATAGTGAGAATTTCCCTCTCTACCTGCTCTTTTAATTCATGCCATTAATTCATGCACTGACAGTATTTTTCTAGCATTCTTCCTAAGTTATGCTTGCCATTTTTGAAGGTGGAAATGAGCCTCGCCTTGTCGCAGCTGCAACCGAACAGTTAAAAAAATTGCCATTTTACCACTCATTCTGGAATAGGACTACAAAGCCGTCCTTGGTATGCACGATTCCTAAATCTCCTACTATTTTTCTTATATTATGTTATTAATGTCTTTCTTGTTTGGTTTCGATTCCTTTTCCTTTATAAGTAATACCTTGAAACTAATGTGAGCTATAGTCCTTATGCCAAATTGTACTGTTACTGTTTTTATTTCTGCTTAGAAATAGATACCATTAATGGAAATGGTAATTTTTTAATCTGATAGGAGCAATTTCTATGCGGTGGACATAATAAAAACATGCAATAAATATGCAAAATTTTTAGGATACAACGTGTTAATCCAAGACAATGAGTGATTACGCTAATGAAACTTGAAATGACAATACAAGTCAATCTGCATGAAAGGCACAATGACTTTTTACTATAAATTGATAACTTAAATAAGGATCAAGAAATTCATGGTCACGATCAAAATTAACTTGTTCGATAGAAACATAGATTATGACAAATATTACTGAACACTAATAAGTAATCACACTTTTAAGGCAATAATGAAAACATAATTGATGGAAGGAAAAAAAAAGGGCGATTTGGAATTGGCTTACAGGAATAAATTTTTTGTAATGAATGCGTTTTCTAGGTGTCTTGGTACCCTTTTATAATAAAAAAACCATTGAAAATTCTTGTCCGTTGGCTGCTGAGGATTCATATTAAAGTATAACCAAGGGCTGATAAACCGTGTATAGAAATAGTTGCAGATCCAAAAACAATGTATTAAATGATAGAAAAAAATAAAGTATTCGTAGATGAGGTGTACAAATTATAATTTCAAAAAATAGGAGAGTAACATACGAAGATCCCAAATGTCTAAATTGTGGCCACTGTGATGGCATAAATTCCTCAACAAAATAGGGTAATTAGTCATAGGCATTGCTATAATCCACCGAATAGAGGAAAGTCATAGGCAATCACAAGTAATCATCCTAACGCCCCACTATACCCCTAATAGTATTATAGAGTGTCACATAAATAAACATAATATTTTCAACCTGAACATATGATTTTTTTCATTATTTGAATATTTGTATAAAACATTAACTAATATTTACATTTACTATATACACGGAAGTATCTAATAACTTCAATTACATCGAAAAAATATTTACAGAACCACTAATTGATGTAGGCAAAGGAGGGGGGGGGGGGGGGGGGGGTTGGCGGGCGGCCGGGTTCATTTTGCTGGCCGCCGGGTTCATCCCCCCCCTATTTTGGCCTTTCGGTTCCTCTGCGTGGCCGGGTTCTCCCCCCTCTGTTTGGCCTTTCGGTCCCTTTGCCTGCCCGGTTCCTTCCCCCTAGCGCTGGCTGTTCGTTGGCTGTGTCCTGCTGGCCTTTCGGGTGCTGCTCCCTTTGGCTGCCTTTTGGCCTTCTGCCTCCCCTTTGCTCATTGGATACCTTGGGCGGCTATTTGGCTCCCTCTCCTCTTCTTTATATGGCGGCACATTTGGCTTTTGGAATTCCTAATTTTTGGCGACACTTGGGCTTCTTTTCTTTAATTTATGAGGGATGTTTTGTGGGCTTTTGGGCTTCGTCTTTCCTCCTATATAAAGGATTGTTTTGGGCTATTTTAAAAAGAGAAGATGTTTTGTGAGAGAATATTTGGAATGTAAAAACCTGAGGGTTTTTAGATAGCTTGCGAGCTATGTCTCCCTTTCTCTTCTCCTCTCTTTGACTTCGTCTCGGGTTTCTTATCTACTTATTCTCGCCATGATTACCACTCCATTGTATCTTTCTTCTCAACTTATCTTATTATCAATGCATTAGGTGTTTAAGTATCTTTTAACATGTCTTTGTTATCATATCATCTATAATTTGTAGTTTTGTCGTTAAGTCGTCCTATTAGTCTTTGAAGTAGGTTAGTTTTGGAAGACTTGCAAATTTTGTATTGGTAGGCAATCTTTTTTGTCTGCATCACTAATACAATAAAAAATAGTACACCAATGAACTGTCTACACACCTCAGCTATAGACTCACAAATAAAGCTAAACAATAGAGTATAAAATGAAATAACTTTAACCTATTCTGATTCGGCCTTTTTCTTTCCTTTTCCTGTAACAACAGTCAGTATGAATATAATTGGTGAGCTATGAGGCTCAATAAGTTATGCAGTTTATATAAAAATTAAATGTTAGATTATAAATATTAAAATAATTGAATTAACTTAGAAATATATACAAAACAACATAGATCATCTTTTCATTCATTTGAAGTCTATACAGAATATCAATATTAATCTTTAAAAATTTGATTAAACTTTAATAAAAATGTTCAATAGAGCCCAAGTAAACCTGACATTATTGATATTGAACAACATAAATGTCTCTTTTGCCTCTTAGGGGTCCTTTTTGCCGCACATGCTATGCAGGTATCATATATCTGGGGTCTAGTTTGCCCCACTTATAATGCAGTGTCATACATGGGGACCCTTTTGCCTCATCTGCAATTGTATGTTGTACATCATTTTATAGCCAAACTTTACTAAATAAATATTCTCTAAACTTCACATATTCATAGTTCATATTTGTTTTGTAGTATTGCAGATTTTCATAATAACATTATAGTTATGCTGTACATTATGATGTGATCTGCATTTTCTCTCTTGAGTTTAATCTACCTATTGTGGTCATCTGTTCTTCATTGCAAAAGCCTTCTGAATTAATGCTCCGAGCTGATCAAAGAAATTGGCTTAGCCTTTCATGCAAATTTTGAATTGTTATGCAACTTATCTTAGCTTTTAAAGTGATGCGTAAATCATCTTATATACTTCTTCATGCAGGATCTCGCAAAGGACCTCCTTGAAATTTTCACAGTTAGAAAAATGGGGAAGGCCTTTTTTACAAATAGTGGTTCAGAAGCCAATGACACTCAGGTTTGTTTTAGTAATAGTTGTGAAGTGCATTTCTTATTGCTTTGGATGATTTTTGTATTCTGAAGATTGTATGAAGCAAAACACATTCAAATGCAAGGAAAAGAAGAATGCTGTAATGATATCATTTCTAAATTTGTTTCCTATAATGGCCATATATTCCATCATGCGATACTTTTAAAGCAATTACTGTTGAAATAATTCTGAATATGTGGACAACACCATTCCATTTATATCAACTCCGCAATTTGTGGACATCAGCTTTCCATCTACAATAATGCAATAATTCGTGGATAGCAGATTTTCATTTATAAAAATCCAACAATCCGTGGACAACAATATTTCATTCCTGCTTAGTAGTTAATTCTATATTTTAGAATTAAACGTTGGTTTCCAAAATTATATCTTTCCTTGATAATTATTTCTCTAACTTTGTATGTACAACTTCTCAACGTATTGTTTTACATAGAAAAAGGAATAAACTGCAATCACATAATCTTTCATTATCTACTCTCATTTCTTTCCATTCAGATTTTCAATATGGCATCAGAGACAATAAGGTTTTATTACCTATGAGGCCGATAGGTAATTCAATATGGAGTATCTTCTTCAAGTTGATTGGTCTTTCACCAACACTGAAAGCCCGTCTTTGTCCAGCAAATGTGATGAAAGTATATTTGGAGGATGTTTTCGGAAAGAAGATGGTGGCACTTGCTAGGAAGCAGCCAGTGATCAAGAAGTTGGCCACTCCAATACTAGAAATCAACCTCAAAAGAAAAAATAAGATTGAAAAAATCATTATAAAATATTGGACTTAAAAATCCAAAGAGAACCAGCAAGAAAGACAAATCACGACAGTTCTGTCATTCCTTTTATAAGCATCTAGAAACAAATCGAGGACAACCAACTATTCTTTCAGCAAAAAATTATTCTTGATCATCATTGAAATAAATTTGCTTGCTAGCTTATAAAGATAAATTCTCAATATTATCATTGCAAATAAGATGAAAACTATAACTTGTGTGATAGACTCATTAGCGTTAGATCATGTACATACAAAAATATCTTCAATAATTACAATCCATGCTACAAGAATTTTAATATTCAAATTGCAGATGGGTCACTATCAAATGTGGTAAGAGTAGATTCTATCATTCTCTTGGAAGATCTGATAGTTGACTGTGCTTCTAGCGCCTAATCAAAGAATCTAGTCGAGATAAAAATTATGTTGCTAATTTCTCATCTAATCTTTGCCACCTTTTGAACTTGAACTTGGGGAGAATGATTGGCGTTATATGTGTTTATGACTCTACCTTCTAAAGAATGATTTATTAATGTTGACCCACATACCAAAAATGGGCGTAAAGAGGAAACATTGACGACTTAAATAACAGTCAGCAGGTGCGACGTGTCACTTGAATGATCAAACAGCCTCCGATCGCCAAACAGATTGCGTCGTTATGATCAGAGAGTCGAATTCACCTACTAGGGAGCTCCTCGTGATCAAATTGAGAGAAAGTGGTTGAAATCGGCGTCCGACACCTGAAATGGACACGCGACGCTACCCAAACGACGTCCGATCGCAAAACAGACTTCGTCGTTGCATTCGGAATGTTCGAATCACCTAAAATCAATGGCAATTTCTCTCAATGAAAATCGCGCGAAGAAATCGGCGCACATCCAGAGGAAAAATGCATGGATTTTGAAGCAACTGCACACAAATCGAAGTAGAACTGAATGCCCTCTCCCTCACTGGGCTTCCTCTATACACGAAACGAGGACTTCCTGCTGAATTTTTTTCAAAGCCGCCCAACTTTGTTTCAAATTGAAGAGATCACATGGTTGGACTGGAGGACAACAAAACAAGTTGAAAATTGGATGCAATCATAGCCGTTGATTAATTTTCAACTGCTGCTTGGAGTCTGATTTAGACTTAAATTGCATCAATTTGTTGACATTTGAGTTTGAATTGAACTCAATTTGGATCAATTTGAGTCGATTGGAGTTCAGTTTGGTTCGATCGAGCTAATTTTATGAAATTAAACTTAAATCAAGGCCAATTTGAGTCAATTTGGGTTCAACAAGGTTCAATTGAGTTGATTGAGCTGAATCGGGCCTACTTGGGCCCAATTAGACTCGATCCGAGTCGGGTTGACATGAAAATTTTGTGAACACATGACTAATACAATTTCATCTACAACAACCCAACAATCTATGGAGGTCAGATTTCTATCTACAATAATCCATCAATCAGTGATCTATCTACAATTATCCAATAATCTCTATGGCAACAACATTCAATTTTTCTTGTGTAAAGATTGTTTAGCTGTTTCTCGACTTATTTATGTGCAGCCTGTCAACTTGTTTTTTACTCAGACAAATGAATAAAATTCAATCATTTGTTCTCTTATTTTTTACTCTGCTTTCTTCCCATTCTAATTTTCAAGAATTACCTTTTGGTAGATGTTGAATTCAAAAGAGCAAGAATGATTCCTATGTTCTGCCAATAATAGTACTTTTCATTTTTGGCTTCTGCTTCTTCTATTTCTTCTTTTTAACCACGTGTAGATATAGGTATGAGAAGCCAACTTGAGACGTAAATTGCTTTAATCTCAGAAAAAAGTTGTTAAATTTTACTCTCAAAATCCTCAGGTACATCATAACATGCTCTTTATTAGAAGAATCAATTGGAACCGATGAAAAAGCTAATAATTTGTCAAATATTTAACTTTATGATCTAGATTCCTTTTTATTCACAAATTGAACAGTCTAGAGTGGTAACTATCAAAATTATTGTTCTCTTATTGAACTATTAATCTGGTATGTGACTCCTGGATATTGGTACAGATTATGTGGGTCATTCACATCTAGATGCTTTATGCTTGTTCTTAAATGCCTTTAGGAACTTCATTGGCATCATAGCATATCATTTTGGTCATTTTCAGTGACAGCTGTAAATTTCTGATTTTCTTAAAATTCTATCCATGCAGGTGAAATTGGTTTGGTATTATAACAATGCATTAGGAAGACCGAATAAGAAAAAATTCATAGCAAGATCAAAATCGTAGGTGATATAAAAGGAGGAATCAGATCTTTCTTTTTTGTATTATTTGCACTTGCATTATTTATTTGATTTGGTTTTCTTCAATGATGGTGCTTAAACTCTTCTATTTCATGTATTTTATATACAGATACCATGGATCAACATTAATAGCAGCAAGTTTGTCCGGGTAAAACATTAAACTTCATATTTCTTCTCGGATTTTAATCAAATTTGATTCACACTTTTTAGAGGGAGTGAACTTGGGTATTTGCACACAGGGTTCCTAAGTTTTGCTAAGCAAATTTTGTATGGGTCGAATCTATTGTGCATTTATTTATTAATCAGATCATTTTCAGCCTTCCAGCTCTACATCAGAAATTTGATCTTCCTGCTGCTTTTGTACTGCATACTGACTGCCCGCATTATTGGCGTTTCCATCTACCAGGTAACCATCATTTTATGCATGTTTATCCTTTTTTGACTTTTGAAGTTTAAAAAGAGCTTCTACTTGAGCTGCAGGTGAAACCGAGGAGGAGTTCTCAACCAGGCTGGCCAATAATCTGGAGGAACTTATTCTTAAGGAGGGTCCGGAAACGGTAAATTTCCATTGGTTCCTGAGCCAGAAGTAAACGATTTATTGAAGAATCCAACTTCGTACACTGTTTGTACTTTTTCTCAGATTGCTGCCTTCATAGCAGAGCCAGTCATGGGTGCTGGAGGTGTCATCCCTCCACCAAAAACTTACTTTGAGAAGGTGAAGGACCTTAAAATTTTTTTGTATGATCCGAACTAGTAGCTGTGCTTGTTTGTTTGTGTAACTTGCAACATTGACACTATTAAAGAATCTCTGTAGAAGCTATATGAGGAAAACATGTTGATGGTTTTGGTGTACAACCGATTGAGTCAATGTGGTGCATCTGGTTTGCAAATTCTGTTGGAAGTTTACATTTGTTACTCCTTTTTAACACAAGTGGCATTGAAGTTGAAATAAAAAAACTTTTTTCACTTTTCATGGGGAATTTGAACCCCTCATCTCAACTTAAGTTGGGAGAAATCTTAACCAACTACCATGAGCTATGTGCTCACTTCCAACTTTCTTGCATCAACTATGATTTTGTCTATATGGCTACATACTGATTTCTCAGCTCTTTTCCTCTAGAACATTCATATGTCCTTGTGGGCTCCGAAAACTCGGCCCCGGCCTCCACCCGCACGTGTTTGTGCTTTTTCTTCTGGCGAGGGAGTTTTAACATAATTAAGTTCCGGGGTAAATTTTGGAAGGCAGATGGGTTTGTAGATAAGACAGTACCCAGAGATTTCGCCCTCATTTTGCGAGGACTTTATGATCTGAGTTCTGGTTTCCTGTAGGCGCAAGCCCCTATAGTTAAGTACCCCTCTTGATAACGAGAGAGAACTTTCGATTAAGGCTAGTCTTCAACCAAATACGTAGGAATATGTACATTTGGCATATAGTAGCAGCATGGGTTTGGATTTGGATATTTGTAGATTTGATATTTAAAAGTAGAAATTTAACCATCTTGCACTTAAAGCGGATGGTGGGGGAATGGATGATAGACCCGATCAAGATCCCATGGTTCCGTCGTCTCGGGCCATCGTGGTCCCTGGTCTACTTAGTCAGAGGAGGTAGTCGACCCAACCTGATAGAAGGATCCTTGTCGGCAGCCATGGGTTGCTTCGTCCAAGGGGACTTTGTAGACCTGGTGTGAATATTTGTCTAAGGGGAGAAATTTGAATCCACCTTAGCTAACAGAGGGCTTTGTGCCCTATCGATCATATCCTATTGATTCATATCTCAAGGATTTGATGCCAATAAGGATCGTATCGGCTTTGGACATAACCGGTATTTCGTGGTGCCATTTGGCGGCAAAATCACTCGGTTCAAAGGGTTCCGAATCATGACCGTTTATCCTGCGGTGCCATTTGGCGGCAAAATCGCCGGTTAGAGGACATGTACCACGTACGTACTGGCAAGAGATTGTTTGAGAATTGATTCTAGTGATATTTTCGACTAGGCTTTTAGCTCAATGTGAGCTGAAGTAGTTTTTAACTTGTCCACCCTGACAAACTGTTGTGGAGGGTGGATTGATTTTGCCTTAAGTGATTTGATGATTGATTTTAAATTTAAATATCTTAGAGCCTGATGATTTTTGGATTTTTGTGGAATTTGGATTTTGTAGAAGGTTTAGGGCATTTTGAAATATCTGAGAGATTAACCCCTTCGATTGAGATTCACATTCAACACGGCGATCATCGAGGTGTTTGGGGGCATTTTTATTTGTAGTTTGAACCTTGTCAACTATGTCTGGATGTCGACAGAGGATCGGGTTTCATAGGCTTTATGCCTTTGTGAGTGAATTATATTGATTTTAGGCTTTGAAGGCTTAATATAAATGTACTAAAATAAATATATCGGTCGCCATAACCGTATATTTATTTGATGGTTCGAACCCTGTCGACTCCTATTGATCCACATAGAAGGATCTGGTTCGAACTTGGATTCACTTATTGACACGCGTAGCATCCCTAGACATCACGTGTGTACTTATAACATGCTCGTCGGGGCCAATGCAGGTGTTTTAGAATTTCATTGATTTGACATACCTCTTTGTGTACCTGTGTATTCAAGCTACGGTGCACGTGCAGGGGCATTTATTTCAGACTTTATTGACGCCTTCTGTCTGCTTGTACAAAGGTTGTAGATCCGGTGGCGGGGCGTAGCAACTTCTGGATTAAGTTGTTTGATGCTTTGCACAGGTAGATTGTCGTGCATGTAAAACCCGCAAATGCTATTTTAGGCTTCGCACGCTTTTTAAAGCGTCGCGACGAGGTTTAAGTAAAATTTTCAAGGTTAATGGAATTCAACGGAAATAATTTTAGAAAATCATACGCGAAATTCTAATCATTTTGATATAAATAACCCATACATGATTTTGACTATTTTAGGAATTAAAATTTAACAAAGTTTCGTAATGACAACTTTACCCCTCATTTGTATTAAGGCCAAATCCATTTAAGTGAGGGTAGTATGGTAATTAGCAAACCCAAATTCTTTTATTAGGCATAACCGACCCCTCCTCCCTTCTCATTTTCAAGCAAACGAGCGGACTGAACGGGACAGTCGGACGGACAGCCGGACGGCGGATTCCGCGAGGGCGCTCCGGCGACATTTTTCCGGTGAGAAAGTTACGTCAAAATGAAGAGGACGACGAAAGGATTACTCCGTTGGTGATCATTAAGGTGTGAAGTAAAAGACTTTGTCGAAGTGACGTACCGTATTTGCTTTGATGTAGGTGTTCAGAACCCAGTTAAATTTATAAGTGCTTTAAAATTTTTATGCTTAGAATGCAATTTTATGTAATTATTTTCTTGTCAAATATTTTATTTACTGTCAAATATTTTTATATTCATGCTTTAAAGTACCCTACAGTTTCATGCTTACATTTCATGCATTCTTGAAAAGAAATTAAGGTATATGAATAAATGAAATAAATATGAAAGGAAATTGAAAGGAAATGAAAAGATTTAAATGGAATAAAATTTTCATGTTGCATGTTAATCCGGAAGTACCAAAATGGTAATGGTAAAGGGGCTTACAAAAGCCAAATGGTAATGGGGCTTGTAAAATTCAAATGGTAAAGGAAATGGCCAAAAAAATTTGACTGCGTACCTGATCAGTACGAAAAAGGGGTACTTCCGGGACGGGTTATACATTTAGCATAATCATTTTGCACTTTGCATTGCATGTGAAAAATATTAAAGAAAAGAATGAAAGGATAGCAATGTTTATGGAAAAGAAAAATGACATTTTATGTTATGACTTGTTTAATTAAATGAATTAGTTTCTAATTGTAAATGTTTTTAATTTATGCATATGTTGACCCCTCGTCCTTGAAGGCCTTTCAGATGTTAAAGAAAGGTTGTGAAGGCTTCTTGGCTTATGTTAAGGAGGAGAAGAAGGAAGAAAGAGATTTGAAGGATATTCCAATTGTTCAGGAATTCCCAGAAGTGTTTTCAGATGATCTACCTGGTTTACCTCCAAGTAGAGAAATAGATTTCTCTATTGAGTTAGTGGCAGGAGCTGAACCTGTTGCTAGAGCTCCTTACAGAATGGCGATTAAGGAGCTTAAGGAGTTGAAGGAGCAACTGGAAGAGTTGCTTGAGAAGGGTTTCATCCGACCTAGTACCTCTCCTTGGGGTGCTCCTGTATTATTTGTGAAGAAGAAGGATGGAAGCCTGAGACTTTGTATAGATTACAGAGAGCTGAACAAGTTGACAGTGAAGAACAAGTATCCTCTTCCCAGGATAGATGATTTGTTTGATCAGTTGGAGGGTGCTTCAGTGTTTTCTAAGATTGACTTGAGGTCAGGGTATCATCAGCTCAGGATTAGAGAGGAGGACATTGCAAAGACTGCTTTCAGTACCAGATATGGGCATTATGAGTTTGTAGTAATGCCCTTTGGTTTGACAAATGCCCCTGCAGTATTTATGGATCTCATGAATAGAATCTTTCAGCCTTCTTTAGATCTATTCGTGATTGTATTCATAGATGATATACTTGTGTACTCCCCAGATGAAAGGATGCATGCAAATCATTTAAGGTCAGTATTGTATACCTTAAAAGATAATGACTTGTATGCTAAATTCTCCAAATGCGAGTTTTGGTTGAAGAGTGTTAAATTCTTGGGGCATGTGATTTCTGAGGGGAAGATATCTGTGGATCAGCATAAGGTGCAAGCAATAGCAGACTGGCCAAGACCTGCTACAGTGACTGAGGTTAGGAGCTTTTTGGGATTGGCAGGTTACTACAGGAGGTTTGTTGAGGGATTTTCACAGATAGCAATGCCACTATCCAGATTGACTCAGAAAGCAGTAAAGTTTGATTGGACAGCTCAGTGTGAGGAAGCTTTTCAGAGGTTGAAGCAGTGTTTGATAACTGCTCCAGTGTTGACTATTCCCTCAGGGACAGATGGGTTTCAGCTTTACAGTGATGCCTCACATAAAGGGTTGGGTTGTGTACTGATGCAGAATGGGAGAGTCATTGCCTATGCTTCTAGGCAATTGAAGAATCATTAGGGAATTACCCAACCCACGATCTGGAGTTAGTAGCGGTAGTTTTTGCCTTGAAGATTTGGAGGCATTACTTGTACGGAGTTCGGTGTGAAGTTTTTACTGACCACCAGAGTTTGAAGTATATCTTCACTCAGAAGGAATTGAATCTAAGGCAGAGGAGATGGCTAGAACTCATAAAGGATTATGAGTTGGATATTCAATATCATCCGGGCAAAGCAAATGTGGTTGCTTATGCTTTGAGCAGAAAGAATTCAGGTAGTGCAAACTGGATGATTACACAGCAGCAGGAGTTGATAAGAGATTTGGAGAAGTTGGAGATTTCAGTGGTTCAGCCCAGTGATGCAGAAATTATAAGGTTGAATCAGACTACAATTACGTCAACCTTTCCAGAAAGGGTACGAGAAGCTTTGCCACTTGATGCAGATTTTAAGAAGATACTAGATATGGTTAGTGTATGTCACATTGAAGATTTTGAGCTTGATGGTGATAGATTGCTTCGATATAAGGGCAGATTGTGCATTCCAGATGTGGATGATTTGAGGAAAGAAGTTCTTCAAGAAGCTCACTACTCCAGTTACACCATTCACTCAGGCAGTAATAAGATGTATCAGGATTTGAAGCAGGTGTTTTGGTGGCCAGGAATGAAGAGAAGTGTAGCAGATA